AAATAAACATTGACTGCTATTTTTCCTCCGTTGTTTTCTTCAAATGTATCTATATATATCAACATCTGACGAAGGAAAATTCACATTATCCCAGTTTAGTTCATCATTGAGGTTTTTGTAGTGAGACACCCTTTCGGGGTGGTCTTTTTCATAAACCTTACATATACCACATTGAACAAGCACTTTTCATCTTGATTTTTGATGTTGATACAGGCTTTTTTGTTTGAAACCCATTTAGGTAATGGAATGAGCTTACCCACGAGTTGGATTGTATTTGTCATAGTTGAATTTCAGTTTATCAATCTGGGTTATGACTAATCCACTCTCCGACACTTCCATCACCTCCGCTTGGTGCTCTACATCACTTGCCATCTGATTATATAAGAACATTGGGTATTTCACCCTCGTTGGTGATGTTGTATCTTCTACTCTTGATGACTTGTCTGACATCTTCATTAGTCTTTTTACTCTTCAAAGTGGCGAAGACCTGTAGCATAACCTTCATTCCATTATGTTCCTCAAATACTCTTTTAACCTCAAATCTTGGTATTTGAGATACTGTAGTGCCTTTATGCCTCTAACCCTGATGTTAGTGATAGCATACGAATTGACATAACCTTTGAAAGCAGATTGTTCGTTGGTGGTGGTTGCTTTGTATCTCATTTGAATGCCTGTGAGTGCTTTGTTCTTGTCCAGATTGACCCATCTAATGCCTCTCTTCTCTTTCAGTTCATACTTTTTGTAGTCCATTGTCTGCCTAATCTTGTTGAATTTTGTTATCAACCTCTTTGAAATGGGGTTCCCCCTTTCAAAGTTGTAGGTCTTGTCTCCAATCTTTAGTTTCTTGAGTTCTTCTCCATTCCGTTTCAATATCTCACCCTTTTCGGATGACAAAAGATAATCTAAAACAATCTGCTGTGAAGTGTCCATTATAGTATAATCTATACTATTACAATCTTCTGTTTCTAAAAGTAGTTGTTCAGTGTGAATTGTTTGTTGAGGATGTTGCGGATGATTTGATTGTTGGTGGATTAAGTTTTGAGATAAATTTTCATGTTTTAACCTTACACCCTCTCTCATATTCTCCTCAATATATAAAACATCATTTCTTTAAGTAGTTTTTGGGCTCTCGTTCAGTTTTTAGGTCATTGGGTTCTGGGTTGAAGTCCAACGTGAGGACACCGTCGTTTGACTTGATAAATTGTTTTAAAGAAATGGCAACTTATGGTAAATATAGGTATGAATAGGTATGAAAACGGAAAGATTTACAAAATTACAGATGTTGGATATAATAAATGCTATATTGGGAGCACCTGTGAAAGTTTGAGTAAAAGAATGGAAAGACATAGAAAACAATATAAGGAATACATCAAAGGGAGGATGAAAAAGAAGACAACCGCAATAGATATATTCAATGAATTCGGTATTGAGAATTGTACGATTGAACTGATTGAGAACTACCCGTGTCAAAGTAAGGAAGAATTGTTCAAAAGAGAAGGGGTACATATGAAAGCAACAGAATGTGTCAATAGACAGATTGCAGGTAGGACGCAACAGGAGTGGAAACTGGACAATCCAGAGCAAGCGAGAGAATACTATGAAAGAGGCAAGGCACATGCCAGAGCATACTATCACAAACATAAAGAGGAAATAATAGAAAAACGCCGTTTGAATGAAGAGAAAATAATATAACAACGCCTTTTGAAGGTTGAATGTCCGTTTTGTAAGCGTTATTTTTTTCAATGCTATGCTCTGTGGCATCAAAAGAACAACTGTGTCAAACAAACGGGAATGGACAATGAATAGATAAAACATTCTGATTAACAAAGCGTTGTTAATGAGAAGGTTTTATTTTTAGTGTCGTCTGCTGCTCATACATCTGTTGGTTTGACGGTGTTTTGATAGATTGGATTTGCTTGTGATGGTTCGTCCGCAGTCTGGACAGGTGAAAGGGGTTGATAATTTCTTTTGATAATACTTTGAAGAATAATTGGGGTCTAGTGGTTTCTTGTCGTAAGTTCCGTCGGGTTTCCATCTTGTGGATGTTGTGGTTGGTGGATTTTGAGGGTTGCTGGATTGGTGTAGTGCTTCCGCCATTTGGTCAAAAAGGTCTTCGTCCATTTCTTGCTTCATACCGTTAATAAACATATAGCAGGGCATATTCAATTCTTGATTCTATAAGGCGTCATTTCTTTAAGTGTTTTTGGGTCTGTTGCTCTAAAAATTGTGTTTTTAACAAGTGTCCTAAATTGATGTTTTTTCAACGCTAAAACGATGGTTTTAGGACACTTGTTGAAGTAAGGATTTTTTGTCTTCAAAAGTTCAGGGTGAAACGATTTGTCCGTGTTTGATGGTTTAGCTATAAAAGTTGAGGGTGAAACGATTTGTCCGTGTTTCATGTTTTTGTCAAAAGTTGAGGGTGAAACGATTTGTCCGTGTTTGATGGTTTGGCTAAAAAAGTTCAGGGTGAAACCATTTGTCTGTTGTTGCTTGTTCGGTGAATGATTGATACTCGGTTCTGGGTATCGTTGATACTTGGATACTGGTATCTGGGTATCATTGATACTAGGCTCTGGGTATCGTTGATACTTGGATATTGGTATCTGGGTATCATTGATACTCGGTTTGGGGTATCATTGATACTCGGTTCTGGGTATCATTGATACTCGGTTCTGGGTATCATTGATACTTGGATACTGGTATCAGGGTATCATTGATATTCGGTTTGAGGTATCATTGATACTCAGTTCTGGGTATCGTTGATACTTGGATACTGGTATCTGGGTATCATTGATACTAGGGTTGGGTATCTGCGGTTATGCATGCAATATGTGAAAATTACTCTTGGATGACTCACCCACAAAACATCTCAAGCGTCACAGTTTTTTTCACCGCGACTTCTGCATCCCTCAACTTCTGCTCATCCTCTTGAAAGAGCTTGGCGACGAAATGCCAATGCTTCAAAGCCACACTTAAATTGGTTGTTCTCCTCAGGACGCAGTCTGCTGGCTCCTCACAAAGAAGCTTCAACTTCATTTCGGTCTCCTCGTCGCTCTCTGGGAGATACCCCATGGGTCCTGCCTCTGCCACCTTGAGGAGATAGTCGTTCACTTCCTGGTCATCCAATTTCCTTTGAATTGGTTTCACCCTCTCCTTGTACCACTGCTCAACCTGCTTGATGACCGCATCCGCACCTTTCTGACCTTCTCTGGAGACGTTTTCCAGTATCTCGCCCAAGGCGCGGAAGTTGCCCCCTGTGCGGATGTAGTAGTGCTTCAACACCTCCTCTATCTCATCGTCGGCAAGAACCTTGTTCAGCGTCCGGAAGTCGTTTCCCTGCTTTGCCACCTCCTTGACCACAGATGTGAAGTCTTCGAAAGGCAGCGGTCGCACCACAACCAGCCTTGACATGTCAAACCTTTCGGTGATGATGTCGGCCACGGCAGACACGCTGACCTCCAAAATGAACTTGCACGCGGCATTGTCGTAGGTGATGTTGCGAGCGAAGGCACCGAGGGTGGAAGCAATGTCATCACAGGCATCCCTACTAAATTTGTCTCCGCGGCTTTTGGTTGTGAGTTGCAGGTATACCACGACGGCACTGCCTGTTCGGCGCTTGCACGTCTCGTTCACCTTTTCCAGCATATACTCCACTTGTTCTGGGTAGTATCGCGGCAAATTTACTGCTTGCAATGCTTTGCGCAGCGCTTCATTGAGTTTCAAGTCCTCACCAGGACGGCTTGACATCTTGAGCGGGAGCACCCTTTTGCCATTCTTCACATGCTCACTCAGGAGATTGTTCAGCATGGTTGATTTCCCAATGCCTTGGGAACCACTGACCACCAAGAAGGAAGGGGTGCTCAAAGCTTCACCTTGAGGTGAATTGATGAAGTCCTTGATGTATTCCTCCTCGAGCGGCCGTGCAAGGGCGGGCTCTTTCCTTTTCAGTCTTTGCCCAGCCTTCCTCACTGCCCTGTTCATGAAGAAGCCAGGAAGGAACCTTTGAATGAGAGCTTGGAGAACCAGCACTACGATGCTCCCTGTGCTCAACAAAGTCCAACCAGTTTTAACGGTCTGCGCCGGAAAGGCCCTTGCGGGCTGTGTTCGTGCATGACCGCTTGGAAGGACGAACCGGCCTGGCGCAAGCTCAACCTGCCTCACAAAGATGCATCTGCGGAATGTCGAAGAAAAGGGACAATACATCGGTTCAGTCAATTTGTGCCAAACTGGCTTTGGTATTGAAGGATGCTTGACATGCAAAACCAAACAGGAACCACAGCGTCTAACCTCAATCAATACATGAATTTGAAGCAAATAATTCGACATCTTTGAACAACAGCTTGGTAGAATTTGAACCTGAACCTACACATAGAAACTCTGACCACCTCAACAATTATTCCCTTCATTCAATCCAAACATTATCACAACAACCTCAACAAAACATTTAGCAAGATAATCAAAAAGAAACAGTCAAACATTTAGATTTACAACATTGAACAAAAATATAACAGCCTCCCACCTGACCTCCAACCTGTCTTGTCCTAGCATCCCTGTTGTACCATTTTTTAAGGGCTTTTTATTGCGCGCTGTTTCCGCATAGAAAACCAGGGGATAGATCAGTTAGATCCACATGCCGCTGGTGCCGAGATTTGTGCCTGGTTGACAACCCCATTTTGAGAGTTTGATATCTCGATAAGGTAAATACTGATTGACCCATGATATCCTGAATATCATCACAATTCACCACAATTTTGCTTCGTGACATCCCGATCTTTGATGGTTACCCTCTGGTGATTTAACAAAACTGTTGAAAATAGCCATTTAGTTCGCTGATTTACCCATTAAAAATGGTGATGTTTCATAGCAAACTCTTAATTTACAAGAGGGTAAACCATCTAAAATGATGATCAATGATGATCAATGATGGTATTTGATGGTTATATAAATCCTCATGCTTTGTTTCTTTTTCATCTCCGCAACACGACCAAACTGTACGGCACCTTGGAATCTCATCCACATGTAAATCTCCGGAGGCGCAAGGCGATAGGGTGTACATGGGCACCTCAGGGCAGAGATCTCCTCCCAAAAATGGGAAATGTTACCCTCTGGTAAACTAGCATAACTATGAAAAATCTCCATGCTATCAATGGGTAAATCCACTATGAATAGCTATTTTAAATTACCAGAGGGTACAGAATTGGCAAACATGACAACCATAGATCTACGAGAAACATGGGAAACATGGCAAAATTTACAGAACGGCCACAGTGGTTCATAGATTTCATAGATCTGTTGCTGTGTTTCACGGAATTGGATGATGGGAAAATTGAAACCGGAAACCCCTATATTTGATGGGGTTTTTACCCATGGGTTTCCGGTTCAGATTTTCCCTTCACAAAACCAATCCATTGATGGTAAAATATGGTAAAATATCCTCATGTTTTGTTTACCCGGCCTGGTAAACGTTCACAAAAAACATGAGGAAAATCTCCATGCTGAAACTATGGGTAAATCCATGTTGGTGAAACCATAGGGACGGTCCCAAGAACGGGCTGGGGGTCCTAGAAGTTTTCACCGATCTTTGGGGTTAAAATGGATGGGTTTAAGAGGAAAAAAACTATTAAAATTTGGATGATAAATGGGGTAGCCCTATTTCAGGAAACCTCCATGTATCCATATGTGGTATGTTCAAAAATATCATGGCATGATAGAAAGGAAATTATTGAAATTGCCTTCCTATTGAAAGTGGGAAGGCAAGTGTGCACCATCGAGAAGAGTGTGTGCATGACAAATGACCACCCACATTGCAAACATGCAGAGATGAAGCTGGAAAAATGGGGTCCATGAGACGCAGCAAGGATGATAAAATGACAAAAACAACAGATACACTTGCAGGATTGTGCCCCCCAGTTATAAGTTGGTTTATAACTCCATCTAAATATAACTGTTTGCGTATCATGCACCAACTTACATAGCTAACGAACTGGGGCCCCATCCTGTGTAAGAATGATAATTTCACAAATCCGCAAGCATGAACATCTCTCCACTCTCCAAGATAGGGGCACGATTCGTAAAGATTAGGGTGAACACATGTTCGATCATGGATGCAGAAGCGAGAATCATGGCTATCATACCTGATCAACTACGTTCAAGAAGTACGTGACTGCCACATCATCATGTTTCATTTTTCGTTTATTTCAAATTACGCATTAAAACAGTGAGCACAACTCCACTCTCAGAATCAACAACCAACCAACATCATATCCGATATGTCATATCCGCTACTGAACATCGCACTATGTTTGGCATTTAAAAAAACAAAATTGTTCTTGCTTCCGTCCCCATCACATATGGCAACCCTCAACACCAGAGATTAGCCCAGTTTTGCAACCCAACATCGAAAGGTTCCAGCAAGGTTCCAGGACTGTTCCAGTTTTTCAGCGCGTGCATTTTCGTGTCACCAGTCCCCGACCCCAGAGATTGAAACCCAACAGATTCGCTGTTGGGAATTTTGTCGGTCGAATACTTATGTGTTTGTTCAAATCACTATGTGGGCCATTTGCAATTTCCCACTATGGTTATCACTCAGGCGTCAGAATCCAGAATTGGCCCGTCTTTTGTCCCTATTATTAGATATGCCATGGGCAGCAAATCCCTGGTTCAAATGAAGCCATGTATCATGCTGCTTGTACAATACATTATATATATATACTTGGTGGTCGTGTTAAGTCACCCTTATCTGTAAAGAGTCACCCCCGCGCATGTGCACACCCCATTAGGAAAAAGTTACCCCCATTTGTATAAAGTCACCCCTGAAGTATGGAATCTGCATGGGCACACCATGTACGTAGACATTCTATGATAAACATGTTTTGTAACAATTCATTGGGCACACGCAAGTGAAGTGCACATTTCCTTTCATTTGAACACATGTTTGAATTAAGAAACACCATGGGTACACCATCAAAAGCTACTTATATCATTTCTGTTTAACAGCATGTACTCACATTAGTACAAACGCGGTATGGGTGAAGTATGGTCCTATTACAAGTCGGGGCTACATCCATTTCCGTGACGCGATTTGTTTCCAGAATGCGATCGATGCGATGCTTGCCCGCCATCAATATGTAGATGATTGCTTGATTTTCTTTGTTAGATGATGTTAGATGGGTTTCTTTGTAGGAAAATAATGTTCCTTTCGTTTTCTTTCCTTGCCTTTCCTTTCCTTTTCTTTTGTTTCCTTTCCTTTCCTTGTTTGCACAAACGTCTGAGACAAGAGATAACATTTACCCTCTGGTAATTTAACGTAGCTATTGAAAATGGCCATTTACAGTGAGTTTTCCCATTAAAAATGGTGATTTTCCATAGTTATGTTACAGTAAATTACCAGAGGGTAACAGCCTTCCGTTCGTCTGATAAAATCTGAGCCCAAGCCCAACAGCATGAGAATCCCCATGGCCATCAAACTTCCGGTGCATGAAACACAGACGAAAACCTGGAAAAAAACACCACGCAAAAAGAAAAGTTGCCTAAGATCAATGGGAGATCTCCAGGATCCTAAAAATGGAGCTACTGTACCATATAATGCTGGGCATATTCCCTGAAATTTAGCCCTGAAAAATAGGCCTTATATATGGTAGGTACCTCCAATTTAGGTTGTGACCAAAGCATTGAAAGGAATGCAAACCTGGAAGTGGCACACCAGAAAGGGACCACTTGAAACCCAAGGGACGACTTATCCCAGGTATCAAGTATGGATATGCATTTATATATATATGGATATCTCAATCTATCCCTCCCGCATTTTTTTGGACAAACTCAATTCAATTTACATTGGCGACACACCCAGAATGTCCATTGTTGGGTCAATCGCCAGTGACTTGGCTTCAGATCCCTGGGTGTCGTTAAACATGGCTGGCTGGAAAATCCCATTGACACATCCATGGATGGTCTGGGATTGAAAAAATGGCTATAAAATTGATGATGGAAGTTATGGAAGGCTAGAAATAGACCCACAACAAATTCATCACATAATCTTCCTAGTCATAAAAATCGCACATCTAGAAGGTGAAGCCGAAAAATGAGGTCGCTATCCGTCGACTTTGCCAAGCGTTCATCCCATCTCCCGTGGGCCCAGCCTCTACATGCACCATGGTTTCTGGGGCGTGTTTCTGATGTTACAGATGGGCAAAATGCCAGATTCATCCCAAAAAAAATGGATTTTGCCAGATTCCTCCAGTTATCTGGCTAAACTACCCACAAATGGATGGTTTACAATAGAAAATCCTATAAACATGGATGATTTTTCCATTAACACCTCCAGTTATCTGGCTAAACTACATAGAATATGTCGCATTGGCTGATCCATGGATGGTTTATGGATGGTTTATTGGCCTTTTTTTTGGCCATTGATCTGGGTAAATTATAATCATTCACTTACCTGAAATAAGATCATTTGGGGATAGCTACCCCCTACTAACCATATCTAACCATCATTCCCAGTGAGGGAGAACAGTGAGGTCGTTATCATTTCTCCAGATTGATGGATGATTTATGGGTTTGTCTGAAAATAGTCTAAACCCCTAAACCCAATGGTTTTGCTGATCATTATCCCTACTTTTTATGGCTATTTCATTGGGGTATACCCCATTTTCAGACACCTCTGGTAAACTAACATAACTATGGAAAATCACCATTTTTAGTGGGAAAATCCACTATAAATGGTCATTTTCAATAGCTATGTTAAATTACCAGAGGGTATGGACGATTTCCCGGTGTTTCTTCCAGTCACTCCCTTGGGCACAGCCAGGCGAGTTCGCAAGGCCTGCGCCTGCGCCTGCGCCTCCTAACGCTTTTTGCACGGTGGTTCACCATCAACAATAAGGGTCTGTAAAGGGATTTATATCATGGGATTTCATAGGAGTTAATTGGATTTAAAGGGATTGCATATGATTTGGTCCGATTTAAGGGGATTTATATCATGGGATTTTATGGTGATTCAATTGGATTTTAATGGGATTTGATGGGAATTAGTGGGATTTGATGTGGGATTTAATGGGAAATCGTGCAGGATGAGTGTAACTCAAAAACTATAACTGAACATGTGAAAAGTGTATGTAGTTAGGATATAATACAGATGAAAATAATGAAATGTCTTTGTTAGCATCAATCATGCGGTAAACCCACGATCATACACCGTGGTGTTTTTTTGCAGCAAAACCCTGGGGTCTATCCAACTTATGTGTATATTATATAAATATATATAAGGTTATCAGAACTCAAAATGTCAGTCGAACCAGCAAGCTTTAGATTTGATTCAAGCTTAATCTTAGACCATGCCCCATTTACTGTCATTTGCTCAAGAATAAACCCTTTGGCGATACAAAATAAATCACCTCCCGAGGGTTGCTACTGTTCAGTGCGCTGGATGTCATCCATCTGAGGTTTGGAGAAAAAAAACCAAAAACTGGCCAATACAAGTGAAAATGCCTAAAAAAATCGATAGTTTGACTCATCTTCCCCATTGAAAGTGCCATAAATGAGGCATTTTCATCCGGTTCCACCCGGTTCCACCCTGTTCCACATCTCCCCCCATGGAAAACCCAGATCAATTGGTCATAATCCCAGCAGTTGTATCCCCATCAATTTCCATGACATAATCATTAAACTACCATTAAACAGCCATTAAATATCCATTAAATATCCATTAAATATCTATTAAATCCATAATTCGTTGAATAAATATGCTCAAACCAATCTCAAATCCACGATTTTCAACGAATCCCCTATCCAAATCCGTGACTGCCCCGTGTCCTTCTGCTTTTCCGCTGTCTTCGAGGGCCGTCGCGATGAGCGCGACGACGGGTTTTGTTTCGAACGGTCGCTGCTCAAAGTGGCACTGCTCAGACTCTCACGTAGATCTTTAGCCTGGAAAGCTGCATTTAACGTGCTTTAGTCCAATCTGTGGACACCACCAAGAGTAGATGTAGCAACAGAGGATCTAAGAATTAACCAAGCAAAACTGTGGTTTGTAACAAGGGCTAGGCTTTTTCTAACACCAATCAAAACGTCCAAACGTGGAGTTGTTTTGAAAAATGTCATGTCAAATGAGCGATGTCGGGGGATATCCTCTAGCAATCTCAACAAATCTAAAGTGACATTGGAATATCATCATGTTCAAGAGCTAAATGGTTGAGAAATCTGCCGTCCTCGCAACGTTTGAGTCCCGGATGTCGAGATCCTTCTGGATGAATCCCATCGCAGGTTTTTTTTTTCAACAGCCAAAGTTGGTCCCAATGGTCCCAATGGAATGTGTGGATTCCTCGTGATTCCCAAAAAAATTGGGACAGGATTTTCCTTGGCACAAGCCTGGAGATGTTTGGTATAGAGGTCTCTGACTATGCCAAGTCAGAGATCAACATCAGGTGTAATGCCAGGTGAAATGCTGTGGTGGTTGAATTGTTTCTATAAACTCTGGTGAAACATGGAAGTATCCAAAAAAAAAAAAATGATTCCCCAAAATCTGCATAGCTGTCACAACCCTGGGCCTGGTCTGCCAACTTCATCATGTCTTTCCTGGGATTTTCGCAAAAATCAGGTCCTTTTGGGACTTATCCCTACCAAGTTTGATGGTCACATGGCAAGGTATGATTTAAATATCCATGGGGAATATGATCCAGAAATTATTTTATGACACCAATATACCAATTGTCTGAGGCAAAGTGATTACATTGGTATGAAAAATATCGATCCGCCGACCCCAGCAGCAGAATAACCCGTGACGGAGAGCCACAGGGCATTCCAAAACTTGCTTTCCAGAACTAGGTATTGAAAGTTTAGAAGCATTGTATGCAAGCAATGCATGGTTAGAGATTGCCAATTCCTGAGTTGAAGGCTTCGGGTTGACAAGCCGCTTGCCCGAAAGAAGTTGGTTCAGCTACCCATGCAGTGGAAGAATCAAGTGAAATAAAATGGTCAAACGCCGAATCAGTGAAGCTAATGCTAATCACCCTTAAATCACCATTAGTCACCATGTAGAACTATTTAATCACCATTTAATCACCAGTTAATTACCATGTAGTCACCCTTAAATCGCCATTGAATCACTCGCTCGCCCTCCGAGCATCTTCAGACAGGCCCGCTTGGTCACCTCCATGGCAAAGCTTTGCGCCTCCTCAGCGCTGTGAAAGCAGAGCCTCGGTGGAGTGAAATTCATCGGTGAATTCCGATAGGAGGGAAATTCAGCAATGAATGGTGAGTTCATCATAATGTTTCATACATGGTTTATGAATCAATATGCAAAAAAAAGTCTAATGAACATCATGATGCTAATTCATCATAAGTTCAATGAATGGGAATGTTGTTTTTGCTCACGACGCCCCTACCGGCCCTGGGGAATTTGACACTTTTTGCTGTGTCGTTCACGTCACGTGAAGTTGTATCCGCACTTGATGCTACGCTCCCTTCGCCTTGCCCGTCAGTTAGAAGTCTTGCACGTCAGTTAGAACTTGTGCACGAAGGATAGTCTGTTTTTTTTGGAGAACCGGGTGGGGTGGGGGGTGGGGGGGCAAGGGGTACGCTGTAACATGCTAGACGCTCTTGATGCTACGCTGCAACATGTCTCTTGTCACTTGCCAGACGCTCTACCTGGTTTAACGTCATCAGGCAAACAAAGTTGCTGTTTATAAACGTTCACAACAAACTAAAAGGAAAACTTAGAAAAAAAAAATAAACTACAGATCTGATCCCAAAAACGAGGTTCCTGAACGCTGTGCATTTTACGTTGTCACATGTTTTTTTTAAATTTCTACGTTCAAGTAAGTAAAGTAAAGCCCATGATGTTGACATTCGAAAGTTTAGAATTTCATACCAACTGGTTTGCCCTTCATCGGATCCCTGACACTTTTGTTTCGCTAACAACATGGGCTCCCAAGGGTAGAGGTTGTTCTCATGCAACATGGACTGCCTGAGGTGATCTCCATGTCGCATGTCGCATGTCTACACGCTTGTTATGAAAAATTCCAGTTTTTTTTGCGTTTAGGAATTGAAGTTCATTAGCTACTCAACAAATGGGCAGAACAAGAAAACGCTGTGAGGGTCATGCGAAACACAAAAAAGCAGCGAATGAAGAGGTGAAAAACAGCAGGGCCGTTACAGGCGTCGTGACCTTGTTTTTATGATGAATCAATATGAAAAAAATGGATAAACATTCTTCATAATGAATGGTGAATTCAATGGGATTTTTTTCATGGAAATCATCTCGCATGGGCGATGGCGGGCAATCTGCAGAAAATGACCATCCCCCAAGATGGGTAACCCATCGATTGCACGTGAATATGTATATATATATATTATATTTAATATATATATATATTATATATATTATATTATATATATATTATATTATATTATATATTATATTATATATTATATGTTATATTATATTATATTATATATTATATATTATATATTATATTATATTATATTATATTATATATTATATTATATTATATTATATTATATATATATATATGTGTATATGTATATTCTATTATATATATATGTATATTCTATTATATATATATGTATATAATATAATATATATAATATATAATATATATGTAATATAATATAATATATATAATATAATATAATATAATATACTATAATATAATATATATAATAATATATATATATGTATGTCTGTAAATTATAATACTTCACTAACCTGAAATAAGGCCATTTGCAGATGATTTCCCTATGGTTTCTCCTACTAACCATCCTTCCAGTGAGGGAGAACAGTGAGGCCGTTATAATTTACCCAGGTGTATGTATTATCTATATCAATTGGAGAAATATGATTAAACACATGTTCATTGATATCTATATCTATTTCTATATATATTTCTTATTGATATTGTGGATATCCATAGATGTGGACAATAAATCCATCATATGAATCATGGCCAATTTCAGTAACCCAGTAACCATGGACAGAGTATCCACTGAAAAACCATGGCTTCTATATATATACAGGCACAGATAGAATATGTAGTTATACTTGGCAAGTATACATGACTATAAGTATATATATATATATGGTTATTTGTTTATATATATATATCATGTTTTATATATACATATCTATTAGAGTTTCGCCCTGACCTTAGCGATGAGACCATGAAAAAAACTCAACCACGGGATGGTGGTTTTTCGCCTACCCCGAAAAATATGACTTCGTCAGTTGGGATTATGAAATTCCCAAGTGAATGGAAAAATATATTGGCCATGTTCCAAAACCACCAACAATGAACATGGCCCAAAAGATGTTCGGTGATGTAGCTTTTCTCTTCCGAATGAAGCAGATTTCAGAGGCTGTTTTGCCTCTTGTCGTGTGTCCATAGGAGATACCCCAAAATTGCAGTGCCAATGCTGAGCCATACCCACAAGTATGTATATATATATATATATATGCATAAATAGACACGATCTATCTATACATACTGTAATTATCTATACATATATACAACATATCTGCTTAGATTTTACATACATGTGTGTACCTGTACATATCTATAGCCAAAGAGATAGCTAGATAGACTGACAGACAGACTGATTGATAGATTCTTAGATCGATATCGATAGATCGATACATGGATAGAAGGATAGATGGATAGATGTAGGTCTGACATGATACATGAAATTCATGTACCCTCCAGTAAACTAACATATTTTTTTTGAAAATCCAGCATTTATAGATGATTTACCTACTAATAATTGGTTGTGATTTTCCATAGCAAACGGTGAGTTTACCTAGCGGCTACCCAGGTGAACGCCGCGTGACTGAAGAGGATCCCCCACCAGCAGTGCCACTGAGGCATAGAAGTCCTGCGGGAAATCCGCCCAGGATATGGATAAATGTGTATGTGTATATATGTGTGTATATGTGCTTCTGTATATACATACATGTATTTGTATTCTGCATGTAAATATATATATATAGTTTCATCAATATAATCATATAGTTATGTACACAACTAGTTTGGATAAGTTCTGTATGGACATATGCATGTATATGCAGGAGTATCTATCTATATATGCATGTCCATACTGGTTGGTAGTTTTGACTTGGCAGGAAAGAAATTGGTTCACTGGGATAATACATATATCTGGGTAAACTGTAATATTTCACTAACCTGAAAGAAGGCCATTTGCGGATGATTCCCCTTGCTAACCATCATTCCAGTGAGGTCGCAGTGAGGTCACTATAATTTGCCCAGATATAATTATAAATAAATATACATAATATGATATATAATATGATATATAATATGATATAATATGATATATAATATCATATATGATATGATATATAATTATAAATATAATTTTATATAATTATTCTATACATATATATATGTATAATTATACATAATTATATCTATATGGGTATGGCTCAAAACCTAGTGAACCTCATCCATCTATACCATGGTGAACTGTTAAATAACCAGATGATATATATATATAGTGCATATGATGTGAATGTATATATATAACGATATATGCCTATTAGATTGACTGCTATGTGTATCTATTATACTCTCATAGTGTAAATATGATATACTTATAGTGTATATATCATTGATGATCATTGTATACTAAAGTGTATATGTGTAATGTGCACATTCCCTACCTTAACGGCTTCGAAAAAAGTATATCTTGGCACCTCTTGATCGACTAGCCGTCCCCATCATGATCCACTAGCATCCCCCCCAGCAGCCCCGCCAAGATAATGACCGTTTTGGCAACCAAAATGGGTAATTCTATAAGCTCCCTGGAAGCATTGCAAATCATTGCAAGGTAATCTCTCTCGACATACCTGACATAACCCCCAAAAATTGGGACAGAATTAGAGCATCTGAGATCCAAGGCGTAATTTGTTTCAAAAAAAAATTGGAACATCTTTATTAATCCCTTCCCCCTACAATATTCAGCCCCCAAAACATGGCGAAAATTGGGGAAAAAATCCAGCGACTGGGACGATAAAAACCAACACTCTTGGGATGGTGGAACCATCTCAAAAAATCCATCGAAATCTGGCTTGCGAAATAGGTCAGCAACTTGAAAAACATTGTCTACAAGGTGGTGCCTAGTTGTGTTTGTTGGTTTATCATCCCCATTAACTATAGTTATATCCCCCTAATCAACCCTAGATATTGGACTTATTTGCACCAACTTAGCCTAGCTAACTATGGGGCACCATCTTGTAGATCATTTAAAAAGGAAATTCAATCAGCGGCCAATCATTTGAAAATCTTTGAAAATCCAATTCCCATCGTTTGCACTTCCAATCATTGCATTGCCAAAATTTCTTGCTTCTTACTGCAAAAAATCTTTACGATTCCCATCAAAAGTCAGCAACGCCCTCGTGTTTTTTCCCAACGACCGAACCTTCAACTTGGATTTGCTTATCCCAAAAAAATAAAAATATTCACTATTATAGATTCCCCAAATGGTGGATGTTCCATTGGAAAAATAAAAAATCACCGACTCAACAAAGCCAGGACAAGGCCTGCACGGACACATGCGCTGATTCCATCAACCTCGCTTCCTCCACAAAGCGACCGCTGAGCACCAACCTGGGATGAACACCACGAGGATGGGATTTTTGAACCTGGGATCTAAGCACTTTTTTTAATGTCAACCCTGGATTAATAACCCCAAACGACTGTTTCCTTGGGAAGGTACCATTTATATAAGTATCAAATCATGACTGTTGGGGGAATACCCCCTAATTGTCATAAACCATGGTTTATTAATCCGGGGTTGACATTAATTTAATGGCCATTAAAAAAAAAAAAAACTAGATATAGTGGGAAATATAGCCATTATAATATTATATCATATTATATCCATATATAATGGCCACTATATAATGATGATCTATAGATTTCATTAGGATTTTATGTCCAGACTATGATTTGGATGGGGTATACACTCCAAAGTCGTGGCAATTGTTTAGGACAAAGGATGATTAACCACTGGGTATCCTATTTTCGTTCAAAGCCAATGTGGAGAAAAACGGGAGCTTTCCGCCAATCGATATTCATGAGGATAGTATGGGATAATGCCTGAAAAGGTTTGGGAAAGCCTTAATCTTGAGGGCCTTTAGGGAACAGCTGTGGTGACCATTGGGGATATAGCTCGCATGGATTTTGTGGCAAATTTGGGTCCTATCTCATACATGGGCTATGAGAACTAAACGTTTGAGTTACAGTAAATCAGCAACAATAGGGATTTGCATCTGTATATATATACAATAATCCAACCCGTAAACTACATCCCATTTACCCAAAGGCTTGCTATTTGGGTAGGTTTACAATACCCAAAAAAAGGATGTTGCCATGGATGTCCCAGAATTTTCGCGAAAATTTTTGAAAAAATGTCCCACCCAGAGTGCCTTTTTTTGAGTACCCCACATGTTTGATCCCACTGGAAAGGTCACAGGTCTTAGCTTCATGGCGAAATCTCATGGCGAAATCTCATGGCGAAATCTGCACAAATGATGTTCAAACCAATTGGTTTTTTCTGTTGGTTTTCCTGCTAAAATTCATTGATCAACATATTTGACAAATGATGTTTAAATTACCCTCCAGTGGAAAATAATCCATTTAGTTCAATGATTGTTCTATTAAAATCCCCGCTGATTGGCGATTTTCCATATGTTTGATTACCAGAGGTTAGATAATATGAAATCATTATGAAATCCACATGTTTCATTGTCAAATCCGAAATGGATGGTAAAATTTTGATATAGATATATATATATATAGGTATATAGATATATATAGGTATATATATATAGACATATATATATATGGATATGGATTTCTATCAGATGAAATCCACAGGTTTCATGGTCAAATCCGTTTTTTTGAACGGTCAACAGTCCTGATCGCCGAAGCGGCAAATCGCCAGCCATCCCCAGTACGCAGGGACGCCAGGTGAAACCAATCCATAGATGACCTGAATTCAAGGGACATGTTACTGGAAAATGGAGGTAACATCATAATATATATACATAAATAGAAATAGTAATAAATGGACAGTTTTTTGGTGAAACATAATAAAATAATGATATAACATGATATAATATCAAAAATAACATGAGATGCGATAAGAATATATATATACGTGGATAATCCGATAGTATAACATAAGAACAGAATGATATACAATGATTCACAGATGTGCCTTGATAATCCTGCGAATGGAGATAAGACACCAAGGTTTCCCGTAAATTTTGCCTTCAATTCATTGAGATTTGGGATGTGGGCAAAATGCATGTGGAAATTTAAGCAAGAAACATGAAAGTTAACAAACAAAATATAAGGATCAAACATGACGGATTTGAGCATCAAAATGTGGGATTTAATTTACCCACCAAACATGGCGGTATGAACCAGCAAAGGCACGAAAGCATCACCATCGAAAGGGGTGAGTTCAAAAATCACATGAACATGAGTTTCAAATGCCCTAGTCTTTCGTTTTTGTGACTAACAAATATTTGAAAGCATCAAGTAATTCTTCATTGGTTGCACGAGTTTCATACATTCCTCGTTGGAGGTTTCAAACCCATCGAAACCTATGTGTTGGAACTTATCATCCTCAATCAGGAAACAATTTCAAAGGATTTTAAACCAACACCTGAATCACCTAAGCCTGTGTCGCAAGCATCACTCGCTCAAACATTGGTAACAGAATGACTTCACCATGTCATACCAGTGCGGACAGGTTTCAATTAAAGGTTTTCTCTGCCGCGCTCAGCATGGTTCGCTCGGGTCTGCGCCAGCCCAAGATCTCCTTGAGACGTTCTCTTGATTGAATTATAGATCTAAATCCTAGTCGTAGTTAAAATATCTTAAAATACTTATGTTCACCAACTTTCTTCACCAAATCCCAGTAAATCAAATCCTAGATCAGTTATAATCCCCTAGAAAAATCACCATTTTATGGAAAATACCTATAGCTTTGCCAAGCCTTTCAGCCTTCCGAGCTTCCATCGCTGATCGACCAGCCTTTGTCATCTCTAGCACGGTGGCAGCCCCGGCCAAAGCCGCGGCTGCCGTGTAGCCCGCAGAGACCGTCACGAAAACCATCACGGAGATGTGAGCTGAAAAGAGACCTTGGATATACCGGTAGCCAGAAAGATGGCTCAGACCCAAAAACAACATATTTTCTTCAAACATAGATTCCCCATGTTTGGCGGATTAACGAAATTGAACTGTGAAAAGGAAAGCGTCTTCAAAGCCAAGAGACCCAAAATGAAAGTGGGTCGAAATTTTGGGTGCGATTTAGGATCACGCACCAAGCGAAGCGATGGCGCGCCAGTGGCAAAGGCAGAGTGCCGGGCGCGTGCGAAAATGTGAAGTTTTGCTTCCCATGCTGTAGGTGACATGTCTATGTTTCATCAATATCAGTTGATTTTTGGATGAAAATGCAGAGCATCTTCAGGATCAATCAAATTTTATTACATTCATTACATCTTCTGCCATGCTTTGCTGCAAGTCGTGCTTCCGTCTAGAACAGCTGCGGGTATCGTACGAAAACGGTCATGAATTCACCCAGCGTTCACGGTCAGTTCTCACCAGATTTCGGAATTCCAGCAGTTTCATCAGGTGAATTTCAAGGAGGTTTAGCCCAGCGAGGTGCAAACCCGTGCGCCTATGAAGTTGCCATGATGAAACACAACTTGGGCTGTGACCTTGGAGTGTCAACTCGGGATGCAAGTGGGGTGAATGGTTGGGTATCTCCATAAATGTGACTTCACCCAGTGTGAAGTAAGAAAAAAACATATGTTATATATAGTTGGGGATTTCAGGTCAAAAGGGGGATGTCAGCAACAAGAGCTGGGATTCAAGTCGGAAAACTGGCTACGATTTCGTGGTGAACCGCCGTTACCCAGCACATCCCACTCTCATGTGGGGGATATGAACAAAGCGGAGATGATCAACCAACGTGCTGTGCGAAAAAACCAGCAAAAAGGAGGATGTAACCGGCCAAGATGGAGACAAAACGACCCTCTAACCAAAAATGGGGGGGATATCACCAGTTGAAAACTGAGATCTGCAAGATGGTCAGCCATTCAGAATGGTATCAGCCACTAGCCTGGTAAACCCAAGACCCATTTCTGGACAAACCGAGCTTTGAGGTTCCCAACATGGGTGGCCTCGTACAAACGCAAATACCATGGCGGCTCTGGCAATTCCTGACGCAGTGGGATTGTCATGGATCGTCCTATGGGGGAAAATATGGCTTCCTCTGATCGAATACCAAAATTATGTGGTCTATGAGTCTATCATGTGAATACCAAAATCATCATTTTCCCTATTAAAATTGCCATGAGGGGGGAGGCAATACCCTATTTTCAGACACACCCATATGAAACAAACAACTCATTGAGCAGCGGCGGACCAAGCTCAATAGGTCCCAGGGTTCGGGAAAAAAAAAATAGAACAGTGGAAATCCATGAAAGTTCAGTTATGTGCAATCAGTTTTCTCTTGTAATAATGGTGGTTTCCCATTCTATGTTAATTCCTTTTTTTCCATTCTATGGCAAAATTCCATGTTACCATTCCATGTTGGTTTTTTTTGGAGGATGTGTTGGAAAAAAATCTAGTCAGCATGCCAGCATTAATCATCACATGTTTATTGATCTAAAGCATGGATTTTTCTGCAAATTGGGTGCCTCAAATTTTGATGTTTCATAGCTTCATCATTTACCCCAGCCAGTGCACTGGCACATATATGGGTATGGGTCAAAACCTTGTACCCCTGTAGTTCACATCAAAATAGCTGGTAAATGGATGTTCATCCCCCTAAAAATGGCATTAATAGGTAGTGGTCCATACCCATATATATATAAAAAGGGTAAATCCCCCAATTTCAGTCCCAAATCTAGGCCTTGGAATGTGATAAAAAGGGTTGGAGATGGCTACCCCCAGTGGTTTTTCAATGGGGTACCCCAAGTCCCATCACATGACACCGGTGTCCCTTTTTTTCCAATTTCCGCCTTGGAAATGGGATCGTTCTTGAAAGCCGCCACCTGCACCATCTGCAAATGAGGAAATTGGAGAAAACGCCATGCGTTCCTCAAATTTTGAAGGATAATCACAAATAAAATAAGGTATATTTAACATTTAACCAACAATGAGCAGCTTACCACAGGTTTTTGGACCTCTCAAACTCGCGCACACGATGGTCTTCGGTCTCTAGCATGGTGCATCAACGACTCTGAGAAGAGTTAAGGATGACTTCTTGGTCAAATGTATGTATATATATATGAGATAGATAGATAGACGTATATATATATACATATATATATATATAATTAAATATATATGATGTATAGATATATATATGTGTGTATATAGATACATATATATATATGTAAATATATATATATACATATATATATATATATATGTGTATGTATATATGTATATATGTAGATATATAGATATATAGATATATAGATATATAGATATATAGATATATAGATAGATATATAGATATATAGATATATAAATATATAGATATATAGATATATAGATATGTAGATATGTATAGATATAGATATATATATATATAGATACATACATATAGAGAGATATATAGATATATAGATATATAGATATATAGATAGATATATATATATATATGTACAGATGTACAGATGTACAGATGTATAGATGTATAGATATATACATACATTACAGTATATTTCAAGATATATGTATACATCACATATGTACTGTATATTTCAATATGTTGCCAGAAAACAATGTCATGCCGACAGTGGTAACTTTCAGGACCCCTTGCCTGGACCGATCCTATTGGTTTCTGCAAGCATTTACGCCCCATACTAATACCATACCTGAGTTTCTGCGTGCAAATCATCTTTACCATTCATGTATTCGATGTGTACACTGTGTTATACATGTGTATATCTTATACCTATAGGTATACATGTACTGTATTTAACGATATACATGCACATATAGGTCATATAGGTATACATTTACAGACACTCATATGCTACATATTGATCTTACTGGTGCTAAACGCAGGGAATTTTCGGGAATGATCCACTGGCTAGCTATCAATTTCATAATCCCAGCAACCCCCAGCAACCCATGCATTCCCTACGTTTAGCACCACGCAATCCAGGGGAATCCTGCTAGGATTCGCCGAGGGCACCGATGGCGCATGACATCGCAGATATAGATCTTGTCCCCAGCCCACCTACCACGGTACCACGGAGGGGGAAGTTCTCCTGGAACTACAGCTATTTTGGGTTGAATTTACTCTAGACCCAATGAATCCCGATATTTTTGCCGAAAAAAATGGATTCATTTGGATTCAGTTTGGGTGCACCTCATTTTACAGTGGAATCCATAGTTACCATAGTTGTTCTGATCAGAATCCATATTTCCCCACGACCTTTTCCCAGTTTTGGAGCAGCTTTGACCGCATCCGGAGATGCCCAGCTACATGACCAAATCTCCAAAATCACCATTTTTCTCCCAATGAAATCGATGCAAACTGTGTCAAAATCCAATTTTTTTAAATTCCAATGAAAATCCCTCATTCAATCGATCAACCCTCAAAATCCCAACTGTTCACGAAGGCCGGCCCCCAAAATTGGTCGTCCCCTGCCACCTGCTGCCACCAGCCAAGCTCGGTGTCAACACGCTGCACCTCTACAGTGCGAGACCTGGGCCGCTGAACAAGGTGAAGTCCCCTAGAGATCAGGGAAAATGATGGCTTTCACCAACAGAAATCAGAGGGAATTCATGATGATTTTACCGGGAAAATTATGTGTTTTGAGCATATTTAACTATATTTAAGCAACAAAAAATAGGAAGTTTATGAAATTTAGGGCTGACGCGACGTGGTGTTTACGTTTTTTCACTGGGGCTTTCATATCGTGGGACGCAACAGCAATTCAATGGATTGATTTAAAGGGAAAATCTAGAGGAAAACCATGTTTTTATGTGGTTTTTATCTGCAAATATAGGAAAATCTAGAGGAAAAGTTTGGTTTTATATGGTGTTTATCACCAAATATTGGAAAGTCTATAGGAAACCCTTTTTTTTATATGGTGTTTATCTCCAAATATAGGAAAATCTAAAGGAAAAGCTTGGTTTTTATATGGTCATTATCTCCAAATACGGGAAAATCTAGAGGAAAACCATGTTTTTTTGTATGGTGTTTATCTCCAAATATATATATATATAGTTCTTCCTGTAAAATTGTTCCATGATCCAAGTCTAGCAACAATGGAATAGAAATTGGGATAAACTTATATAATTCATAGTGGGCTATAATCAGACAAAATATAGCATAGTGTGGAATGTAAATAAATATTATAGATCATCATAGTACAAATATATAGTATAGATCACCGTATAATGGGTGGGATAAAATTGATAGACTTGGCACCCAATTGAAGCATATAATGTGGGATTTAATCAATAAATATACTGGTTTAATGATATAATGCGGATATTAAATACATATATATATATAATGGGAAATAATATGGGATATGGCACGTAAAATTAGCAGAAAATATGTGGGTATAAAGTATTGGAATATAATTACAGATGCGAAACAATATGGAATATAAAACGAAATAGAAATCAACTAATCATCCCGTTTTTGGGTGACAATCACACATATGCATATATACAGATATACGTATGACATTGGGAATGTTTATCTAACATTATCTAACTATGATCCCGTCAAGTCACTATAGCAATGAATGTGATGATCAGGACGTGACGAATATGGTAAATCAATGTTAATCATCCATATATGCTATATGATATGTGGTATATAGATAACTAACATGGTATAGATCATGTTAACAATGGTATATAGATAACATGTATGTTACTAACATGTTAACATATATGGATATTTGGTATATAGATAACTAACATGGTATATAGATACTAGTTAACATAATTCTAACATGGTATATAGATAACTAACAAATGAACAACATGATAGAATTATGGGATGATGATAACAAACCAGCAATATGGGATGACAATAATTAGCCAACAATATGTCATGATGACAATGAACCATTGTATATAACAATATAGGATACTGTACAATGTACCGGTAGTACAATAGGGGGGGTCTCTGAAAATTGGATACCCCGTTACATCTATATACTGGTGGTGTACCCATGTTTGCCCATGTTCAGACAGACCTATCTAGGATATAATATGGCATACTTACAACTCACCAACAATATGATATATACAAATGGTTACTTACATAGGGTTTCCCCACGAAGGTTCTTTGGGCTTCCAAGAATGAAATCATCACGTTGAATCTGGGTGAATTACAATAATTCACCAACCCGCAAGAAGCTGATTTTGAATGATTTTGAGGTGTCTCTCATTTGCGCCATTTTTGTTGTGAGTTACCAACCATCGTTCATTTGGGGCTGCAGCGCCCAAAACGTGATCATGTGCAGCTTGAAATGTTGACCCGATGGAAACAGCTCAGGTTGTTAATCTGGAGATGGCATTCATGCTTCTCACCATAACTTGAGAGTGGTGGCTCTTCCGATGACAACTTTCCTCCATGTCAAACCCCAAACCACTTCGAGGAGTCACCATGTGAGTGTCTCCAAGAGGATGTGGATTTGCACCGTAAATGACGCAAAGAAAACATAACGCAATGAACCGTAAACCTAGCCAAATCTTTCACATCGCATTGGGTGAACAAACCCCGTCATGTATCTTACCCGTTCACTTCTGGTATTATAAAAATAGATTCATTTGGCATATTTGTTCCCGTCGTTTACGTGGGGTTCCTGTACATTTCCCTTGAACCATCCAGAAGGTCCATCCCTTCAAGTCCAGTGGGTTGCAAACGTTCCCTTCAAGAAAAACAAGCATGGCTTTGTCTCAAAGTTACCCCCAAAATGCACTGGTGAATCATCATTTACGAAATAAAATGCCATAACTGGCAACTTAATCCCCCCAGGGTCTACCCTCTGGTAAACTAACATAACTTTTTTAGTGGGTAAATCAACAATAAATAGCCATTTTCAATAGCAAATTGTAACAAATCACCAGAGGGTACCTGTTGCATTGACCTTTAACAGCTCAAGTCCCAGGTACTCGTTGCCAGAGAAGCACAAGGAGAATTGATCATCGCAGCAGCTCTGGCGGAAAACGTGGCAAGGCCCCGTTAAGGGATCCCCTTAACGAATGGGCTCATGGAGATTTTCAGCCCCAGAAAGGCAGGAGGTCCATCCCCAAGTCAACGAGCTCATGGATGGTGGAGAGAGAAAGCAATGAGTTTTGGTCTATTGAATCGATTTAGGGTTCTGTAAGATCTTTTCGGTTATCCCTCTGGTAATTGAACGTAGCTATGGAAAATCACCATCCTCAAAAAAGGAGAATCAGCAGAAATCACCAGCGGATCATTGTCCATAGCTATCTTTTAAAAAAACAGAGGGTACTGCATCCCTCATCAAAAAAAAGCACTGGGAAAAGGACATATGATTCATCTGTGGCACCAGTTCCTTTAGCTCGGGAATGTTCAAGCCATCTACTGGTATTCTATACATTTTTTGGGGATTCAATCCATGGTATTGTTGCTTAAATGCCCGAAAAAAATGAAAAAGAAACTAGTATGGCTTTAGATCCACCATCAACATATCCATTTACCCGAAGAGGTCAATGATACGAATGATATGGTTTATGATATGGGGTTACCAATGGTTTATCCTAGGAAAATGATCCACAAATGGTGGTTGTGTGTCATTTCTATTAGCATATCTAGCGGAGGGTACCCTTTGGTTATTTAACATAGACATGGAAAATGGCCCATTTATAGATGCTTTACCTATAAAAAATGGTGATTTTCCAGGGCTATGTTAAATAACCAGAGGGTATCTCAAATGATTTAATCATTTAAAAACGTCCGTATGTTCCATCCGTATCTCAACATCGTGGCCAAGTGCTAGCTAACAGAGTAACTGAATGACTGCCCATGTCCGATAAACACTCTTACTATACCCCATATGTTTTTTGAATACACCTCCAATTATTGGTACGAGTATAATGCTATTGGCCATGATTTGGGGGGTTCTAAAAACAGGATCCTCCAAGAACTATAGTTTTTTCCTTTACCAGTGATTTTTACGGTTGTAAATCTGGGGTGTCATTCCATAAATGGGGTTATAACTGACCTTTTTTCCACCAATTCTGGGTTTTTTTTTCGATATTTCTTCACAAACCTCTTCAAAGTTCGGCCAGCTATATTCAGCTATTGGGATGATTCCCCGAAGCCTAACCATCATCTATCTGGGCAAATTACAGTAATTCACTAACCCGAAAAGTTCGGCCATTTGGGGATGATTCCTCTAACTGTTAGAGGAATCATCCCCAAATGGCCGAACTTTTCGGGTTAGTGAATATAAACCATGATTCCAGTGAGGTCACGACGTGAGTTCACTATAGCATTGTTGGTCAAATCCACCACTTTTAACCACTATTAATCATTAACAACTTAACTGTTAATTATAGATTAATGATCATTCCTCTATGATCCACTATTTTCCACTATTAACCACTATTAACCAACCATTATGATCCATTATTAACCACTATTAACCAAAAAAGGCGCTAGCCTTGATGACTTCACATCCAGCATGCGCCTGACAGCGCGCGGCACTGGAATTCAAAAAAGGCGGCCAGGCGTCAATGGGGCTTCCCATCAATGGATGGTTTATTTCATGGAAAATCCTATGGAAATGGATGATAAGTAGGAAGTACCCCGGGCACCCTCATGACTTTTTGGACACCTCCGGTAATATATGTGTTTTATTCATCAAGGGGGGTTAACCGTATGGTGACACTCTTGATAGATGTTGGTTGTGAAAAGGAAGGATTTAACCATCAGAACTGGTGGATTTAGGCAGAAGCACATGTGAGTTGACGAACCAGGCAAGTCCTTTGGGTACCAGTGTGAAATGGGATGGGTCATAAGAAATATCACCAATATCTGTGTAAATATACAGTCAGTGGAGATGTCCAGATCCTGTGGCTTAGGAACAAACTCAAACATATGGATATGGCTCCAAATGGAGGCATCAACGGACCGCCAAATTGGACGATTTTAGTGTTGAACCATCTCAATATCGCAGACAATCATGTTGACCGATACCCATCTGGAGAATGAATTGATTTCACCGACCAAATACGACCAATATTGGGAGCACCATGGAGTACCCAAGTATTGGGCAAATGAGAATTCCCATTGTCAGATAGGGTCTCTGTAGACATAAATGCATGCAAACATAAACACAAATATACATACATATGTACATGCAACATATATAAATTATAAATGTATACAGTGTATGTGTATATATATTTACACACCTATAATTTACCTACATATATCTATATATATACACACACGTGCATCTATACATCTATATATTATATATGGATATTCACGTGTGTAAATTGGTAGCGGAGGATACAACCAATCAAGCAATCTGACCCTGTCAGGAAAATCAATATTGAATGAACCCTGTCAAATCAAGTGGATGATGACCCTGTCGATCAAAGAGATATGAATTGGTGTCCCACACCAAGAGAAAGCGCAGCAAAAGGTTTTGACTCACCGCTCGAGGCTCCATCGCCGATCCTACAGCGAAGTCCACAAACCCTCCCACCACGGCCTGAACCAAAAGGGGCCCCATGGAGGTTATATGAGATCCATCCTGGAGTTAACTGGAGTCACATCAAGGCACATGCATTTGGCGATTCACACTCCCTAGAATCTTCTTTTGATGTGACTCACGGATCCACTGGACTGCCTGTTTCTTGTGAGCGTTCGTCTGCAAGCTGGCATCTTCATCGAACAGTTGAAAGGAACCTTGTCTCAAAACTGCTCGGAGTAGGGTGGCATCCATGTTCTTGGTCAAAGGATCGGCCAATTGCAATGCTGTCGGGATCCATCTAAAATGACAGTGTTCCAAACACCTTTCTTTTATAAGGAGGACCTCCAACGTAGTGCGATATTCTTCGCAAGAAGGCATTGCACGTCGACTGACCAAATCGTACAGGGATTTACAATCAGTCACCACCACTGCCGCATGCATATGACGGAAAGCTTCCGGAGGATTCCTCCATTGGAATTCGGGCATCACCAGTGTGCCCCACAAGAGTCGGCACCAGCTCATTTTATCAACACTCCTTGACATGCTGAAAGCTTCTGCAGACAAGGTGGATCGGACCACTCTAGAGATCTTTTTTGATGACCATGAAATGGGACTGATAGGTGCTGTTTGGTTTTGTTGTAATTGAGGGGATGTTGCAAACACAAGTGTACCTTGGAAGGATGATAATTGTTTTGGACTGGCAAACGAAGCATCCCCAAATACCACGTGGGTCAGTTGATTCGGATCAATTGATCTGAAGAAAATACTGACATCACAAGTTTGTTGAGCTTCCCGAAGTACTTTGTTTGCTTCCAACAGTGTCTGGATGGTAGGCTTTGACAGCTGTACCTGGATTTCACCAAGCTTGGCAGCCACGTCCGGTCGAGTGTTCGTCGTGGCATACTGGAGGCTACCAATTAAACCGCGTAAGTGGGACATCTCAGTCTCTGACACTGGTTCTTGAGGATTTGATCTTCTGTGCTTACCAACTTCAACAGGCATGATTGAGTTCACATAATCTTCTTGACATGCTCGGATACTGAAATCAGGCAATTGCTCAAGTTGGATTCCCGTGAAAACAAATTTATTCTGTTTATAAGACCCAAAAGGCAAGCTTGTACGCAGTTGTTCAATTTGGTGATGAAACCATTCATCTCCGCCACATATTCCATCATCGACATGGGTGCCCAGAACTCCATGGAGAGTACGTTGTCCATTTTTCCAAGACTCAAGATAATACACACATGGTTCCAGTGGATGAACCTTGAAACCTAGCTTTTGTAATTGACTTGAAAGTTCTTTGTAGAATAGTAATGGCGCGTCAACTCTACCGTAGGCATTTCCAATCAAGGCACGCACCTGATCATCATCGAGTTGCATTCGTTGGCGAAGTTCTTTTGGGGGTTCCATGGCCAAAGGGTTATTTTGATCTGCTTTTCCACGAAGAAATGCTGTCTTGATATCAAAAGATGTAAGAACCCAGTGCATGGATGAAATAAGTTGTAAAACTGTGTGCCTACCTTCTCGCGTGAGTGTTGGAGCATCTCTACTTACTTCGGTTAACCGTGGATCTTGGTACCCCAATACAACCAATCTAGCCTTAGCTTTTCTTCCTGACCCGTTTGTTGTTTCATTTTCAGAAATATTTTTCCAAGTGAGAACCCATCTTGACTTCAGGATTTGCTCAGGATTCAGGTGTTTTCTTAACACAGGCTTAAGTGCACTGGTCTGGAGCCAGCAAGAAAGTTCAGCATCCTTGGCGGCTTCAAACAGCTTTCGGTCAGCCTGAGTCAGATCCTTGACCTGAACTTCAGCACGTGCCCTCTTCCCAGCAGAGGCAATCTGGGCAAGTTCCTCCGGATGTTCAGCATGGGACCATTTCAACACATCTTGACGTGACATGGGAATTTCCAGCATGAAACACTGATGTTCCAGAGGTTCTGGAGGATTCTCAATGTATGGCATTCCATCATCCGCAAGACAAATCTGATTGCTTTGGGTTCCAGCATGAAAAACATTCCATTCATGTAAGGTTGTATCAGTTTCAAGATGACAAACATCATGGCATGTGAGAACATCCGCATGGGATTCAAGTCATCTTCCTGGCTTTCAGAGGCATCAAGGTCAATGGCATTATCGTTATGGTTATCATTGATTTCCGATTGATGGGGGTTACTTTCATTGGGATTATCTTGAGGACCGTTAGTGGGGGTATTTAAAGGATTTGTTGGTGGCTCTGGAAATAGCTCACTCTCGGGTTGGACGCTGGATTGATTACTGACGGGCAAGGCAGGTTCTGAAGCAAAACTACCGGGTGAGTACATCTCCTCCTCTTGATTCCCCGGGGGATTTGTTCCGTGAGGCACTTCCGGATTCTGAACATCTCTGAGATGGCTTAAATCTTGGACCTGCTGATCTAAGGAAACTGAGGCACTATTCCATTCTCCCAACGACGCTGGACGCAAGTTTTCCGGAGCACAACGCAGCAGCTTGTCTCCGTGAGCAACCCACATGGTAGTTGAACCATCACGACAAACAATCCTGGCGGGCCCATGCCAACGTCCAACTTCACGACGACCAAAGGTATTTTTCTTTTTCCAGTACATAACATGTTGACCTATGGTATACGCATCAACTGGTGGACATGACTTTCTGAGGAGTGCTCTTCGGATGGCTGCATCATTATCCGCAAGCAGGAACATTTTTCTGGCTCGAGTGCGAACCTCCAGATTCCGTCGAAACTTTTCGCAGTCCAGATCAGAACCATCGGCCAAACTGTGTGACGCCACTTGTTCATCAGAAGTTAAGGAAGCAGTGACTTTAGGGGATTTACCCAGTACTATCTGTTCTGGCGAAAAACCATCCTGACGGGACAAGGCATTTTTGGCTTGGAAGCAGGCTCGAAGAACCGTATCAAATTCCTGAACATCTTCAATGGTTTTCTCCTGATCATAGCGATGAAGCATGTTTTTGACAATCTGCCCGTGTCTTTCGATTCTGCCCTTTTGCCAAGCCTCGGTTGAGAGGCGTGGTTCAATGCTTTGCCTTTGCAAAAAGGTGAGCCATGCATCCGCACGAAATTCTCCTGCGGGATCGGAATAAATTCCGGAAGGTTGTCCAGCCCAAGACATCCACATATCATTGAACGCAGGGATAACATGTTCCAAGTGTCGGTTGTCCAAACGGCGTCCTAAGTGGAACAAGGAAGCTTCATCAATGCAATGGAAAATCATGACTTGAAAACCCTTTTTTCCAGTCCAGAAGAAACCATCAATCCCTAAGAGTTCATTGAATTCCTTAGGTTCATGGAGTTTGGCGGGTCTTTGATGGCTAAACCTGGTGGTCTCTACGCATGCGTCACATATGTACTCTTTGGCAGCTTCTACAATTTGTTCAGAGGCTCCTGCCATCTTGAGGTGTTGTGAAAGCACATGTGGGTCTGGATGGCCTAAATTCTTATGAAGCTTTATCAGGTCTTGTTTCTCCTGAGGTTGCAATAAACGGAACTTTGGGCCATGCAGAGGCACTGGTGGTGGTGCCCAACCTTCACATGCTTGGCTGCTGGAACGTTCGTGCACAGCTAGTGGAAGATTTTGGCTTCCAGTCGCCCGCACTGCAGATTCTGGCTCGTCGGTCGGGCCATTGTCACCAAGACTAAGGTCACGAACATTCATTGGCACAGATTCGGAGTTTGGCAAACTGCCGAACATTGTGATCGTCAGATGGCTGGGTATGCTCTTACGTATCCTTTGAGCCCTAGTACAGCTATGCCAATTCTCCAAACCCAGATCATGGATTTCGGAAGTTTCTCGGTGAATGGACACGGTGTATCTCAAGGGAAACTGGTGTGACGGTGGTGCTAAGAGGGGAACTTGATACCTTTCGGTACCCCTGCATACAAACATGTCTGACAGTTTGAGAGATCCCTGCAAGATTTCCTGAGCTAGTTGCCAAGCTGGCGAATCTGTCGGACATCTGGCATTGCCGACACGGGGAGCAAACGATCTGGCAGCATCCAGGACATTCTTCCATGGTTCGGACCTGGAAGGCACAGGAGCTATGGGTCCAGAGACGTTTGTCTCAGGATTCGGATCCACAGATTCATGGCCAGAAATTGGAATGTCAAGCACTGCAACTTTGTTCGTATCAACTGGGGGAACCTGAGAGATTCTACGTCTTTTGAAACGGCTCTGATCACTGCGGATTCTTTTGGCTGGTCTCTCCAGGTTTTCTTCTTCTCCATCTGCATGATATGCCATGGCATGCTCATCAGATCCTACATGAGTGTGATGGTTATTGCAAAGGTTTCTGGCCATCATGTCGGCAAAACCACGGCAATAAGTGGCGCAAAAGCTTGTGAGTCTTTGCCTATCGCCGTTGATGGAAATGCTCCCTTCAATGTTTTGGTGGTCATGTTGATTTGTGCATCTCTGATCATGAACAGCATGAAACATCTGTTGTGAAGAAGTGAGCAACACACTTCGTTTGCGGAGGTATTTGTTGGTCTTTGGGATGCGCAAACCAAAACGACACATATCAAAGCGGGCTGTGGCTGTCTCCTGACGCAAGGATTCAAAAATCTTCAAGTGAGGGAGACCAGATCCAGCAGGCTGCTCTAAATGAAAATGGCGGCCATTTCGAACTTGAAACCTGCAAATTTTGGCACACAATCGGACATGGGGGAGCTGGGAATCTTGCTTGGCTTGGATGGCATCATACAGTTGAACACTCTTGAACTTGTTCAAATGATTCCAGCCACCCCAGGGGCCACACTCAGGAGCCATCCAAATGTGTTCCGGCTGATACTTCTCTATGACATCCCAGAGCTTTTGACGGCCTGCAAATGTGGCTAGGTCTCCATCCTCCTTGGTGAACCTAAGAGCTTTAAGACCCATTCTCTGAACTGCTTCGGTCAGAGGACTATGTTGATTGGCATAAACTTCAAGTAGAAATATTCTTTGATGTGCGGTCTTGTTGGAAATTTCCGTGAAAAGTAAATCTTCCATATTGAAAATGGTTTGTTCAATTTGGTCATGGATTTGTGGCTTGTTCTGAAATTTGGTTGGCTGTTTCAGCATGTCTCTTGTGGCCTGAACGTCAGCACGGAAGCCTTCAGACTCGCTCAGTAGAGCAGGTTCAGCGTCTCGTCCGTTTAGATCTCGTTGGGATTGTGTGTCAACCAGAGCTGTCCGAAGCGGCAGAAATCTTGATGCTCCGGCATGAGGGACCCGTAGCGGGCCAAGCTCCATTGCAGATATCCGGGATCCTTCTCCATCACTTCTGAGAAGGTCTTCCCCTTGTGTTTTCTGCCAAAGGTAATCAGGTTGGCACCCCACTCTGAGATCGTCAGGTTTCTGGGCAATGGCAAGGTTGGTGCAGGCGGCACCGAGGTCCGGCTTTGGTTCAATTCCACAGGAACGGAAAGGGCCATCTCTTGGACCAAAATGGTCTCCTCCTCGGCTTCGATCTCTTGCCAGCTTGCAGCTTGAGAAACGACGGACGGTGCCCGACTCTTCCGCTGACTGACATTGGGAATCTGTGGCCTGGACAACGGAGTGGAACTTCCGGAGGTCATTGAGGCTACACTCATTGGGGCTACTGCTGGTTGAGGTCTCACCTTCCTTTCTGGTGTTTTCTTTCGCACTTCCACCTCCTCGCGGAGGGCTTCCAGTGCGGCGCCTTGTTGTTGAATCTGGCGCATCATGTCCTGAAGGTGAGCATGGGCCTCCGGCTCGTTCTCGATCTCCATCTCGGCGAGGATCTCCTGCTTCTCGAGTTGTTGCACTAGGATCTGCAACAGCATGGTGAGAAGCCGGATCAGGGCTTCGGCAATGGTCTTGAGTGCACTGACCATTGGCGGCATGATGACAAACAGCGGTCGAATGCTGTGGGAACGTTGTCACCTGGTTCTTTGAGCGAAAGTCTCGGACTCGCAAAAATCTCTTGTCAGAGGTGGTTGAGTCTTGCATCAGTTGAGATACCCCTACAACTGAACCCAGAAACTGTTTACTTTTTGAAAGTTCTAACTTATCCCCATTAGAACAGCTTACCCCGAATTGTGGATGAGAACGGTCGGAAGAACACTGCTTGGCTTCCGCATGTGTGAACGCTGTGGCATCTCCTTGGCAAATGTCCAACATATCGATGAGATACAATCCAGTGGGACTCGTTTGCAGCTGGATGGGCTTGTCTTGAACTTTGGACAAAACACACTGGTCAGTTCGTGTATCCAACGATCCCTGTAACATCTTGAAAGCTTTCTTTGAAAATAAAAACGGTGTCAAACCACGTACAACTTCAACTGACAACCACAATTTCCTACCATGAGCATGCTTCAGAGGTAGTTGCACCGCATACATACTGGTAAGAGATTGATTATTTCCAAATCTGAACTTCACGGAACTCGCCTTTTGACGAATTTGGGATCGGATGCATTCTGGCAACGACTGCTTGAGGCGATGGAGTGTTTTGTCTCCAATGATGCAGCGACTGGCTCCTGTGTCCAAAATGGCATGTGTACAGAAGTCTTCCAAACTGCTATATACAGATTCGGCTGAGCAAGACCCGGCAAACGGTCGGCACTTCGACTGAACTGTGGCATGGTGGGACTCCTCATCGTTCGGACATTTCCTGGGCAGCAATCGTGAGCATGTCATGGATGCGGATGCATTCGGGACAGTGTTGAACTTCTGTCTAGTCATGTTGAACTCAAACATCCTACGGCTTAACTTTGCAACCCCGGCTGCACGATTTTCATGGTTAAGGACAAAACATGATTCTTCGGCAACAACTGGGTGCGGACTGGCTTCGACAGATGGAAGTTCATACTCATCTTCGGAAATCACTTCATCGGTATCGGTCGAGGCTTGGAAAATCTCTTGAGGCCTCTCATCGATCACAACATGAGCAGTGGCGGAGGACGAAGGCATGGCTGACTTTTCAGTTTGGGAAGCCTGAGGACACTCGGCTTTCCAATGACCCAAGGCGCCGCAACGTCGGCAATGGCTCTTTGAGATACGCTGTAACAGCGCTTCCCGATCCTTTGACCTCTTTCCAAAGCCCTTGCCACGACCCTTGAAAGACTTGCCTTTTCCTTTCACAGGCCAGAAACCACGGCTCTTTCTCTTTTCCACTAACTTGGAACGGGCTTCTATGTACGATGTGAGTGCTTCGTACATTTCGGGTGTCTCTGGCAAGAACTCTTCAAACTCTCCTTCGAAAGTCGAAACTGTCAAAGCATCGGCATCATCCTGAGCAATCAGTGCTTCAATGAAATCTGGTTCCAATTCAACTTCATGTTCGTCTGCATGAGTGAAAAAGGCTCTCTCATGGTGACCAGTCTCGACTGTGGCATGATGTTCATGTTGATCGGCTTCTGAAACGTTGACATCATAAACCTATTTCTTCTGACTACTGCGACCAGTCTGAAATTCATTGAAAAATCGACTACCCAGCAACCTGAAAGCTTTGACTACCGGCCCGTACTTGAGCTCTCCACCGTGTTCAAGCAGGATGCGCTTCTTGTCATCTGCACTGAGCGTCGATTGACGCAAAAGAACATAGGCCTGGACCTCTTCCAGTGTTGTGTTGCGAGCAATGAGCTCAACAAAATTGGCTTCCATCCTTGACAAAAAACTGTCGTGGGACTCGTCATTGCGTTGAACTGTTCCGTACAATGACTTCTCAAAGAACTCGTACCTCTCTTCAAGTTCCGTGGAGCCCCAAGAACCTCCGATCGCCTCCACGATGGCTGCAATGCCATCAGTCGATTTCACCTTCAACTTCTGAGGTGGGATACGGGCAATCTTTTTGAACGCCGTACCCTCCACCAACAACGCAGCTCTAGGAGCTAATTGATCCAGGAAATCCGTAGGCCACAAGGCCGCAAGGAACTTGAGCTTCTGCGTATACTCCTGGACATTTGTCGTCCCTGGGACGAACTTCGGGATTTGACTCCAAGGCAGCTGAGTGCTGACCTGAGTCGGAGCTTCATCATCCGGCACAGGAGGCAAATCTGACTCCTGAGGCGGTGGCATTCTCAAAACTGTTGTAACTGCACACAAATCCAAAAAGGGCTCGGCCTCCCTGAATCACCACTCTTACAGTTGCCAAAGGAAAACGGACGTCCCTGATGTCCACCAAGGCAGCTGGAGCACTAGGCTCCGCTACCAATGTAAATTGGTAGCGGAGGATACAACCAATCAAGCAATCTGACCCTGTCAGGAAAATCAATATTGAATGAACCCTGTCAAATCAAGTGGATGATGACCCTGTCGATCAAAGAGATATGAATTGGTGTCCCACACCAAGAGAAAGCGCAGCAAAAGGTTTTGACTCACCGCTCAAGGCTCCATCGCCGATCCTACAGCGAAGTCCACAAACCCTCCCACCACGGCCTGAACCAAAAGGGGCCCCATGGAGGTTATATGAGATCCATCCTGGAGTTAACTGGAGTCACATCAAGGCACATGCATTTGGCGATTCACACACGTGTATATACATATTCACATATGTGTATATATATATATATGTGTGTGTGTATATGTATATACTGCGGATATATAGATATATCAATATATATATATTAGTACATGATTCATATACATGTATATATATATATATGAATATGGTCACCGCCCCCCTCGGAACCCCCAACGTATGTACATACAAGGTTTTATGTATATACATCTGCAAATCAGTCAAAACTTCAGAGCTGCTCCTGTCCCAAACAAATCTCCCCGGGGCAAAACTGGGCAAAAGATGATTAAATCTCCGTTCAAGTACGAGTACCTTTAATCAAACAGGCTTATTGAAGCTGCTCAATTATGATATATATATATATACAGCATAACTCAGCGGTTAAGGAGTTCCAGCTGCGAACAACAAGTTCAAAGATGGTGAAAACAATCGTGGATCCTGACGCAATCTACCACTTCGGTTCTATTTATATGATATTATATTATATTATATTGTATTACTGTATATTTGTACACATTTACAGGGTAAACTAATTATAGATAGTAAGCCCCCCAATGGGATTGGCAAGTCTCAGGATGAAGCTGAGAAGCGATTGGACTAAGTCGATGGGGGATACCACCATTTTCCTAGCCTTTTCAATGGTGAAATATGATGATAACTGATGATCGGTGAGTGGATTTTGGAAAAATATAATATAATATAACATAAATATATATAGTAATATATTATATAATATGATATAATACAATATAATGTAATATAATATAATATATTATCTTATATATAGTATTATATAGTATATATATATAATACAATACAATATAATGTAATGTAATGTAATGTAATGTAATGTAATGTTAATGTGTGTGTGTATGTAATATATATATATATATATACGTTGATTTGTAGATATATACATATATAATATGTATGTGTATATATGTATATGTTTAATATGTGTATGTATATATAAATGGGAGAAGCCCAGTAGGGGACTTACAATCACCATGGTTTTCAAAGTTATTCACAACTTTCTGAGTTTCCTGAACTCCCAATTCTTCTAGCTGTAGCTTCGGGCTACATCAAACTTCAACAATCATTCGAAAATCACTTAGCCACTACAAATCAAACCCAATTAGCCACGTCTTGTAGCCACCGTATGTTCCATTTGCCTGATGTGGCCACTCACAAGTTACCCTCCAGTTATCAAATGTGAGTTTCCCGAAAAAAAAAAACAACCTAGGTAGTACCTATTTATTAATATATTTATATTAATAAAAACTTCGACGATTTCGCGAACTCCACCAACTCATTTCGGAGATTTCCCCCCTTTGACACCCGGTGGGTGCCAATTGTTACCTCCAAGGTATCCTCCACCACGTAGCTGGAGGCGTCGTGCGGTGGGATGTGGATCTCCCAGTAGCCCGGCCTCAGAGATGCTTTCGGGATAGAAAAAAAATGGTCGTCATTTTTCAATCCTCCAAAACCATGTTTTCAATCCTCCATATATATATATAGTATGTATGTACGTATGTATGTGTGTATATATATATATATATGCTTGATAGTTTTTTTACAAACCAGCAAACAGAAGATCGGGTCATACAATTTTTGGATCCCATTTAGGGATGGGCGCCGGTTGATCAAGCGACCCGGCATATGGCCAGAATTGGGGGAGACTTTAAAATGATGGGAAAAAATATGGAAAGCGTGATTTTGAAATCCATCATGTGGGGAAAATCTGATTGTAGCTCCAACTAGCTGGATTTTTTCCACTGGATTGATTTCTTCAATTCCCAATGGCTATCCCCATTGGTTGACAATTCATCATAATTGATGGCTTAACATCTCATTGTAGATTTCTATGTAATGTACTCATCTTGTTGCTTAAATCATCTCATATGTATATATATATATTCTGCATACGTATATACACACATTTCAAAAGTGATTGTATCTCTCATGTTTCCCAATTCACCATCATGGCTGGTGAACCTTACATACTTCATGGCACCTTTAAATAATCTACTAACCTACCTACCAAAGATTAGTCCAGTAATATAGTAGTCTGGGATCCAACAATCATTAATTCTACCCAATTTCTGGTTAGTACGGGATGATTTACATGTAGCCCCGTTTATTGGTTTAGTAGATCCCACAGTAAGACACATGTTTCACCATCATCGATGGTTCAACCATCATTCTTGCTTGCTCCGCCATTTTTACTGGTTACCCTCTGGTAATTTAACATAGCTATTGAAAATTGCCCATTTATAGTTGGTTTACCTATTAAAGATTGTGATTTTCCGTAGCTATATTAGTTTACCAGAGGGTAAACCACCCAGTTAACATCATTTGTTGGTTCAATCAACCACCACCAACCCCACTCCTTCAGGTCCCCGTGCAAGGTCCACAGTACCTGCTCCGGTTCCCCAGCACTGCTGTCATCGGCACCATTCGCGCAACGCTCAAAGATCTGGCGAATCCATGGTGAGTTTTCCACCGAGAATCTGGGGTTTTCCGACTCAGAGAATATGAAATATGCGGGGATCTTCTCAGCATAAATGAAGATTCGTCTTGACCAACAAGAGATGGTCAGTTTAGCAAGGAAAATGGTGAGGTTCAAGAACTGAAATTTAAGGGAGCCAAATTGGAATTTATTACAATGACGCCATTAAAAAGGGGATTGAGATATAAACGGGCAGCAAGAATGAGAGAATAAACCATCCATATACGAAACTAAAAGAAGGTTTCGGGGCTTAGACGAGCACACAAGCTAGCAATAAAATTTGTAAAGTCGCAATTTCTCCGTTCATTAAGATATTACATTTTCATGAATATCAACGCAGTCACGGGGCAAGGCTCTGCCCAAAGTGCATGCCCACGTTCAGAAAACATGAAGCTAAGCAAGAGAACGACGGAGCGACAACCGAAAAAAATAGTGGTAGGAAAAAACAACAACAACAACAACAACAACAACAGCAACAACAACCACAACCACAACCACAACAACAACAACCACAACCACAACAACAACAACAGCAACAACAACAACAACCACAACCACAACAACAACAACCACAACCACAACAACAACAACAACAGCAACAACAACAACAACAACCGCAACCGCAACCAAAACCACAACCAAAACCGAAACCGAAACCACAACCCAATTTCAACAATTGAAGTCACTAATCTGACGACCCCTCGGGCCAAGTACCGAGATATCTCGTCCAAATCCCCATCTTTCATAGTGAAATCATCCACCTGTTGGCTTATCACTTGGTGAAGCTATGGTTCATTAGGGGGGGGGATATAACTATAAATATATCATTCATGAAATTCATGTCGTGAAAAAAAAACGACATCACGAATTGTCGCGCGGTCCCCGCCTGCAGGTCATAGGGCGAATTTCTCTGAAGGCCGTCGACCTAGGAAATCACAAATAAGAAAATGTGGATTTAACTACCAAAAATGCTGATTTAAGAGTATCTAAGCATTTAAACAACAGTGTGTGCATATGCATGTGTATGTGTACAAAAATATATATATATATATATGTATATACACACGTAATTCTCTATCTATAATGATATATATATATAACTATTACATACATATTCATATATATATACACAATATTATATATATACATATATATATATTATATATTATATATATTTTATATATTATATATATTATATATATTATATATATATACATATATCATGATTTATATAGTTGAAATTGGAGTTAAAACACAAACAGGTGAATTTGTATACCCAACCAAGCTGGGGACAGAATTGGCAAAAAAGGGATTTCACATGATTTCACCCACCAACAGGGCAGCACCGTGCACAGCTCTCTTTTTGGAATGGCTGGGAGTGCCCGACTGGTCGAATCTCTGATTATGGTCCCATGGAAAAGCCGTTCCGTGACTTCGTCACGAAGGTACTACTTTTCTGTCGCTGATGGGTCAAGTCACCCTGTACCCCAGGTTTTCAGGTCAAAACAGCTGAGATTTCTGGATGTTCATCCCCTAACAAAATGTATAGGTATTGATCCATGGCCATATGGCCCTCATCGCATCACATCTACCCTTCAGCTCCAGATGACCGGATTGCTCCTCAGAAACCACCGGCACGATCTATGTACACGAACAACGTGCCCAAGGATGGTCTCGTGGGAATGGGAACAAATGTGTAATCCAGTAGGACAATTCATGGCATTTTTTGTTGGTCCCAGCTATCCTGTTTCGTTTTGACCCAATAAAGGATCTGTTCATATCTTTTCAACAGAAACCCAAAAACCTCCGAAAACTGCCATCCGCATCCGCGTCATTGGACCTTTTGCAGCTGTTCTTTGACAGCACGACTGTCCCCTCCGGAGTCGGCATCGCCCCAGGTGACGACCTCCATGTTCGTTCAATGTGCTTCGATTACTGTTTGGAGACTTCATCATTGATCCAAAAATCTCGGTCTTTTTGGTCTTGAAAGTCTTGATACCTTTTATCTTCATGTTGTGCATACGTTTCTGATCCGAAAAAATGTTGCGCTAGCTATGAAATTCTCCCAAGTGTTTGGGGAATCCGTTGATCATGGAACACCCAGAGAATCTTCGAAATATCCCGATAGATTCCCCCAAAAGGCAGAATTTAATGAGTGTTCATCTTCCACGCATCATCAGCAAATCCAGAATGCTAGCATTTACCACCCCAGGAGTATCAGAATTGCTGGGAAAATCGACACTAAACATCATGAAGAAAAACAAAGTTCATGAGACAGGGGTTGCTAAATGTCCTTTTTTGGGGATTTGTCTCACATCACTTGAAAAAGTATTTGTTGGTGATTATATCCCCGTTTTTGTTGGGTGATGTTCAATTAGGACCTTTACCAACCCCTGTGGGACATGGAAAAACCAAGACCTGTCCATCACCTGTGATAGCAGCGAAGGCGCCAAAGGAAGCCTGAAGTTTCTTGCCATCAGTTGCGAGCGGTGAACCGCCAGAGGCATTTGGGCATTTGAATCATCAAAAATGGGGGGAGGCTAGGGTTTTATATGGACAACTTGGTGATATAACCAGGAATCATGGGAATTTGATAAGGATTAGCCAACCAAAATATGGAGTAAACCCTTGAGCAGCGGATAGTAATGGATATGGGTTGTGGGGGTTGTCTATTTACCTCCAAAATTTGGCATATGTTGAAATGGGATGGGGACTAACCAGCTAAAATGAAAATTAAACCCATGGAGGATGGTGATATGGGACAATATGGGGTTCTCTGATTGATTGAGGGGATCTACCCCACTTTGTGGGTGTGTATATATATAAATATATATATATATACACACACATATACAATGGGGTGTGGTATATAATCAACATGATACAGTATTTGGTTTAACCAGAAAATGTGAACGTTACCCACAAAATTGCCAATTTTCATCAAAAAAATGGTGATGGGATAATGAGGTACCCCCATTTTCAGACACATGCAAATCTAGCATGAGAACGAATACATATCCACCAACACGGGTGGACCCCTATTTTTTCAGAACAGGCCACCAGGGGAGTGCGCAAATTGCGGCATTTCCTGCGCAAAGATCCAACAGCATATGGCGCAACCGGACCAAATTGAATTCCATTCCTCTCTGCTGTTCATTGGCTCAATGCACTATGTCATAGCAAGCATTGCTGTACTGTAGTGTATCGACCTTGCTTCTAGTGCAACCACGGACAGTGCCTGGCAATCTCTGCTTGGCACATCTGCAATGGCTATCCACACACAAACCAAAAAAACAAAAACAAAAAAAAACAAGACCCAACACTCTGCATCTGACCCCCTCTCCTTGGGGTGTGCAATCTTGGGTTTTTTTTTTGTTTTTTTGGTTTTTTGGTTTCTTGGTTTTTTGGTTTTTTGGTTTTTTGGTTTGTGTGTGGATAGCCCAGACCTTGCCCATGGGTCTGAACTTTTGTTTTTTTTTTATTTTTTTCGGGTTTTCTCGAGGTTTTGGCCAAACTGCAAAAAACCATGGAAAAACCCAAAAAAAAACAACAAAAACAAAAAGTTCAGACCCATGTCCCCTGCCAGGCCTCTCCCCAGACCTTGCCCATGGGTCTGAACTTTTTGTTTTTTTCCCATTGTTGTTTTGCATGTTTTTCATGTGAAGATGCTTCATCACAGTACCTCTCAAAAAAATGCGCGTCTCTACAATTTGCACACCTGCGCCCCGCAGGCCAAACTGCAAAAAAAAAACATGGAAAAAACAAAATTCATTTAATGACTTATATAATGATTAATATAATGATTAATGTAATGATTAATGTAATGATTAATCTAAAAACTTATTTATTCATGAATATAATGACTAATATAATGATTAATACAATGATTAATAAAATGATTAATACAATGATCAATATCATGATTAATATAATGGTGAATATAATGGTTAAATTTAATGAATATTATAATGAAGAATATAATGATTAATATCATGATTATTATCATGATTCATACAATGATTTTATGTAATGATTAATAAAATGACTAATACAATGACTAATTTAATTATTAATATAATGATTAATATAATGATTAATATAATGAATCATATAATGATAAATATAATGATTCATTTCATGATTCATTTAATGACGTTTATAATGCCTAATATAGTGATTAATATAATGATTTATGTAATGACTGACATTATTATTAATTTATTGACTAACATAATGATTAATATTCATAGAATGATAAATATAATGATTAATAAAATGTTTCATTTAATGATAAATACAATGATTCATTTCATGATTCATTTAATGACTTTTATAATGACTAATATCATGATTATATTTAAATAATGATTAATATAATGATTAATATTATGATGAATACAATGATTAATAGCATGAGTAAAATAAGGACTAATTTAATGAGTTTAGACATAATGGGTAATGTAATGATTAATAAAATGATTAATATAATGATTTATTAAATGACTAATATAATGATAAATAAAATGGCTAATATAATGAATGTTTTAATGATTAGTATATTGATTAATATAATGATTCATTTAGTGATTAATACAATGATTAATATCATGATTCATATTTTGACTAATATAATGATCAATTTAATGATTAATGTAATGACGTTTAAAATGACTAATATAATCATTAATTTAATGATTTATGTAATACCTGATATAATTATTAGTTTATTGACTAATATAATGATTAATATAATGATTAGTTTAATGACTAATATAATGATTAATAAAATGACTAATATAATGAATTATATAATGACTGATATAATGATGATTCATTTAATGATTCATTTAGTGATTAATATAATGATTTATATCTTGATTCATATAATGATTCATATATTGATAAATATAATGATTCATTTAATGACTTGTAAAATGACTAATATAATGACTAATACAATGATTAATGTAATGACTGCATGGAAAAAAGTGCACTCCCACAGCGGCCAGCTCTCCAATTTTTCTCCACAAGATCCAAGCAAAAATGTCTTTACACACCACAATCAGGCATGAAAACTAAATGTTTATACGAATCCCATCCCCCTATTATTGAACACCCCCATTTATGGTCCCAATTGTGTGGAAATCCCCTCCTAAACCATGGTTTCTGGAGGGGTGTTTGATATACCCATCGTACCACAGCACCCCAGGTGTTGGAACCCACCAACTTTAAAACCCCACCCTAGTCTTCAATTCAGTGTTACGGCAAACAGGTGTACATCTCTCCCCTTCTCCGTTCTTTGTCAATTTTATACCCATGGTGGTTGGTGTAAAATGATGTTTTATATATCTGGGGATTATTTATTACTATTATTATTATTGTTATTATTATCATTATCATTACTATTATTATATATATATATGTATATTTGCTATACATATCTTATAATATATCTGTCCTATATTTATATTAAACTATATATATCTTGTACTACATATATTTAACTATATATATATATATTGATTATACGATATAAAAATATAATACTACATTTATTATACTATGTATATATTATACTCTATATATAGTATATATATATCATACTATATATATTTTTTTATCCTATATATATATTGTACTATATATATAAAAAAAAAATTACTATATTTATTAAACTATATATATTATACTAAATATATATAATATATATATATATATTATATTTAAATACTAAATGATATATATATATACTATATTTCATGTATATCTAAATAGATATGTTGGTGAAACACAAAAAATCGCAGACAAAGACCCGTCGTCTTTTCTGGTCAAACCACGGTCGCCCCGTGACCTGCACGTGAAGCACATTGCTCAGCTGCTGCTGCACCATGGAGCTGTCACCACCATAGTCTGCATGTCCCCAAGTGACCACCTGGCCACTTTGATGTCGATGTTTGCTGTATTAAGGGGCTTTCCTAAAATTAGGGGGTACCCCAAATCATCCAAGTCATTAGACCATTTTAGTATTGAAACCCATGGTGACTTGGGGTGCCCCCATTTTAGGAAACCTCTATATATGCCTTGCTTTGAAACGAAAAATTATCCCGGCAAGAGACCCCAAACAGTGTGGGGGGAGTAAAAAGATCATGTATTATAGTGATGATTATGGTGTTGATGTTGATGTTGATGTTGGTGTTGATGTTGATGATGATGTTAATGTTGATGATGATGCTGATGGTAATGTTAATGTTGATGATGATGATGGTGATGATGATGACGATGACGATGATGATGATGATGTTGACGATGATGGGGATGGGGATGACGATGATGATGATGGCGATGTTGGTGATGACGGGGATGGGGATGATGATGATGATGATGATGATGATAGTGACGAGGAAAATGAAGATGAAGATGAAGGTGGTGATGATGTTGTATGATGATGTTAATGTTGCTGATGATGATGGTGATGCTGATGATGATGATGATGACGATGACGGGAATGATGATGTTAATGTTGATGATGGTGGTGGTGATGATGATGATAGTGGCGAGGAAGATGAAGATGAAGATGAAGATGAAGATGAAGATGAAGATGAAGGTGCTGATGATGTTGATGATGATGATGTTAATGTTGTCGATGGTGATGGTGATGATGATGATGATGATGGTGAGGGGAAGATGATGATGTGGATGTTGATGATGATGGTGAGGGGAAGATGATGATGTGGATGTTGAGGAGGAGGAAGATGATGAAGTTGAGGAGGATGATGTTGAGGAGGAAGACCAATCCCAAGACCGTGAGGCACACTTTGTGCGAGCCTGCGCAGTCGAAATGCACCCTTTATGTTATACATATATATATATTATATTATATTTAATATCTAATATATTATATATTATACATTATATATATTATATATTATATATTACATATGAAATATATTATATTATATTGTATATTACATATTAAATACTTAATATTTTATATATTATATATTATATATATAATATTATATTATATATTATATATTTCTATAATATCATAGATTATATCATATATTGTATTATATATAATATCATAGATTATATCATATATTGTATTAAATATAGCATTATGAAATTACATTATATTTAATTTAAGATATCATATATTAAATACTATATATTAAATATAATATATGAAATATTTAATATTAAATATAATTAATATGTTATATATTGTAAAAGATATAATATAATATAATATAATATATTTTAATATAGCATAATTTAGTATAATACAATATAATGTTAATGTAAAATAATATAAGCTAATATTGATGTAATATTATATTAATGTAATATAATATCATATCGTCAAATGTAAAAAAAAATGTAAATATATATGTGTGTATGATCATGTAAAATAGATAATATATCATGTATAATATCATATATAATAAATCGTGTGTAATATATCATATTTATTATATCATACATATAATATGTATGTATAATATTTCATGTATCATATATCTTATATCATATATCATATATGATCATGTATTATCATATATCATATAGTAAATATAGTGTTCAACATTTCAACTGACCTTTTTTAATGACTGAGCTGCGCTAGAGGCGTGTATGATCAGAGAGATGAAACATCTCAACTAAGAGTGACAACCAGAGGAACAGACATGAAGACACCAAGAACATCCAAAACCACCAGACGTCTGGAGCCTCCAAAGTCCCCCCAGCGCCCAACACGCAAGCAAGTACCCGTAGCCACCTGTGTCTGCCCCCCCCAAGGCCAATGCCTTTAAACAGACACAGACAAGTACACAGGAACCCCAGTGTGGTGGCGCACCAGGGGTGGTGGCGGGTAAGCAAAGAGCTACAGTCATACGAAATGTATCACACTATATGACTGGGGACCGGTTACTAGTGTTCAACATTTCAACTGACCTTTTTTAATGACTGAGCTGCGCTAGAGGCGTGTATGATCAGAGAGATGAAACATCTCAACTAAGAGTGACAACCAGAGGAACAGACATGAAGACACCAAGAACATCCAAAACCACCAGACGTCTGGAGCCTCCAAAGTCCCCCCAGCGCCCAACACGCAAGCAAGTACCCGTAGCCACCTGTGTCTGCCCCCCCCAAGGCCAATGCCTTTAAACAGACACATCCTGCGTACCATCCTTCCCGATTTTGCGCCACTGCGCGAGTGTTAAGTAGACAGGCTCAAGCGGGAAAGATCAGGTGGAAAGAGCCAGAAGTCAAGGGAGGGAAGGGGGTGGTCTTAAACAATGACCTCTTCAAAAGAGGGGCGGCATTTTAAAGCCAGCTGACGGAGTTTATGCAACTTAGAGTCAGAAAGTTTAAGTTCAGTAAGTTGAGCAACAGCATCGCAGATATAAATTCTAGCTGTTTTGACACTGCTCCAACGGCCTTTGACACAAATAGAAGCAATATTGTTGGTCCTGAAGGCATGTGTTGCCCCTCCTCTTCTGACACTATACCATCGAAATGGAAAAGGGATTTGCAGAGAAATCAACAGATCATTTAGACGCTTGCGCTGAGTCCCTCCAGAAACAAGTGACACGTTATCACCCGGGGAAAAGTTACGCAAGAAGTTTTTCAACAGGACAACCACAAAAGGGTCAGTAATTAAAAGACTTTCAGTCACGCCTTGCCGTTGCCCGGATTTTGACAAAGGTAACGTCCAGGTACCAGAGCGAGAACCCAACAGGAAGTCACCCGCTCGTGCTTGAAAGAGTTCTCCGGCTCGAGCGAAAGTGTGAAAGCCGAGGATAAGAAGCACTGCAAGGTCAGTCCAGCCCAAGTCAGCGGCGGCTTGCGCGATGGCATAAAGAATGAGAGGGGTAAAGGGAGGTGCTCGACACGGTAGCTCAGCACGACCCCATGCAGCATGAAGCCTCCACGATCCCACAAGAAAAGGTTTGCAAGGAGGGATGAAATGGCCTAGGCCACTGAGGCAATCACCAGCCCAACCTTTGGGGTCTCCTTGCTCCCATAATTCCTCAACAAATTGTGAAACTTCTAGGTCCAAGATAAGGAAAGAGCAGGGGTATGGTTTACCATGAGCCCTAAGAAATTCCAGAAACCGTGAAACACTATTCAGGTACCGCTCCTCAGTTTTGGGTGAAACTACTTGAGTTCTAAGCCTTCCCAACACTTTCCGATCCCGCCGTCGTTCATCCCGGGTCCTTTTTGCAAGTACCTGCCGTCTAGGCATCGTTCTGTGCTCTGCGTTTGACCCATCTGGATGGGCCATCAGCCGGGTTCCACTCCGACTTCACCCAGGCAACGATCAAGCGGGAGTTGGTGGCTACCAAAATGGCAGCAAGTCGACGAAGAGGTTGGCGAAGGCTGTATGAACTCGTGCGGCCTTTGGTGAGGATACCCACCACAGGGGCATTATCCACCAGGAGCAGGGTCTTTTTGTGGAAGTTCGGCTGTGAGCGGCACAGTTTGCGCCACAGATCCAACACAGCCACCGTCTCCAGCTGACTGATGTGCGCATTCGGTTGCTTCCACTTGTACGATAACACCACCTTCCACTCCCAGTGGGTTGGGTCCACCGACCGCCTGCAAAAGTCACTTGCAGAAAAAGGGATTCCGTGATCCAGGTTGGCGTCTGTGCCACGGTGTGAAACATGCCGTGTGATCAGGTATACCAGCAGCTGTTCATCTGTAAGCGCCTCCTGAGGGTCTAGCAAGGACCGCGGAGAAGGCGAGGAGCTTCCAGACGTCTGGAGTAGACGCCGGAGGCCCCCCCCAGCCCCCGCAGACCCTGGCCCAAAGCGCGCAGACCAAGAGGCTTCTTTGAGTTGTTGAATCCGATCTTCGCTGTCACGCCACACCTGCCAGAGAAAGGCAGTGAGATCTGATTGGCTGGTCTGGCTAGCCGCCAGTCCCAAAGCTGCCAAAAGGCGGGCCACGATCAGCACTGGAAAAGTGTTGCCGATGAGCTGCTGCCGCTGATCTTCTGTGAGCTTCTGCTTGAAGTCCAGGGCATCCGAGTTGTAACCCAGCAATCGCAGTTGCTCATCGGATAAGAGACGCCGGCATCCCTGTGGAGATCGGACGAGGTTGTCCTCCGAATACTGGTAGGTAGGGAGGGGGTAACCATCTCCTCGCCACCTTCCAAGGGTCTTGGTATCACACCTGTCGTATCCTGCTGGGCTTGCAGGCGGCTCAGCGCGTGGGAACGGCCTGGCGAATGTGAAGAAGGGTCGGCCATCGTTGATCATCTTCATGCAGTCCTTGCGGAGGAACCAGTTTAAGGGAGGCTTACTGGTAGTAAGCTTTACCACCTTCAGTTTGGTATCCAAATCTCCGACTTGTTGGTTCTCCAAGAGATGAAGATCGCATCCTTCGAGCAATGGGATCCCTTTCAACCAAAAGAGCCTGGGCCGTCGGCAATGAAGAGCATCAGCAGCTTCGCACATCACCGGGAGAGCGCCAATCTTTTGAGATTGAGTTGTCAGATCAGCCTGGTCCATCACCACATTTTCATAGAGTTCCAGAACCTCCCAATCCGGCAGCCGGAGCGGGCGGCTGACAGCTTTCAGCTCCTTGACAATGCCCAACATGTCGTCAAGTAATCTTGAGGAGGCTGCTTCAGCTCCCAGTCGGTTGCTGTTGAGAGATGAGTGGTTGATGCAGGGCCACCCCCCTCCAATCAACACACGCTTTGCTCTGGGAAACTGCAGTCGCCAAGTCCTCACCATGTTCTTGTCCACCTTCTGCACGTTGTCCACCACTATCACGTAGGCGCAGTGTTTCTTTGCCAACTTCTGGCAGATGGGGTCCGAATCAATCAGTATGATGCCTTGCGGCAGAAGTCCGACAAGCTCGATTGCCTTACGGAGACCTCCAATGCCGCCAAAAACTTCAATGAGTAGCAATGAATCACAGGCTCGCCCCTCCATGTCATCTTTTTCCGCACAGGCAAGGTGCAGCTTGGCCTTGCCCCTTGCCGTCAAGCATGTTGTCTGGCATGCTCCCCCACCCTCAGGTGACGCATCTGTAGCGTATACTGAAGCATTCAAGGCTGCCCTCTGGCTAGTCCACAGCAAAGGGAGCAATGCCATCAGCATCATCAACTCCTCAAAGCCTCCCATGTCGATCAGCACAGTGGGGTCATCCACTCGAAGATTCCGATAGAGTTCATCGAAGCAGCAGGCCAGTGGACGGCAGTATTGCACTGCATGCATGCATTTCCCGACCACCGACAGCAGCTCCAAATCATTGGTTCTCAAGTCCTCATTCATCAAGAGGTTCAGGCCCGCCGCCAGGACAGCTTTCCGGAATTTTCTGGTGCTCCCAACCAGGCCTTCGTTGCCCAGCTGCTCTGCACCAAGGCTTGACCAGTTCAAGGTCCCCTCAGCTGCCTTCTTTTCATCCCTGCCGATGTTCCAGACCTTGAAGATCTCCCTGAGCTTGAGCTGGGCATCCGACGGCTTGCCTTCATACTGCCCCAGGTCGGTGTTGGCAATCACGGTGAAGCCGTCATAGTTGTCGACGTAAAAGCTGTGGTAATGACGGGGAGTCGCCAATTCCAGCAAGGGGGATGGCTCACCCATTTTCACACACTGTGCGGCCGGGATTCCGCCAAGGGTGCCCATCCTTTCAAGTGAGGACTGCACAAAGTCCACTATGTTTGCCCACCCCATCGGGGCTGAGCGCACCCGGGGACGGCCTTTCTTGCAGATGCCATCTCCAAAGCTTGCGCCACTGGCCTCCTTTGAGATGACAAAGTATCCTCGCCATCTTGGTCCCGGTGCAAACACATGGAAACAGTGTCTGATGTCCTCACCATAGGCCAATATCAGCTCGTCATTGAGCAGGACCATGCTCCCCCACATTGGGGCATACCCCATGGATTTTGATGCTTGTTGAGGCATGCGTCTTTGCAGCAAGTTTGTGGGGATGAGGTTGATAATGAGCCGCAGCGATCGTGACCACTGGTTGTTGCCATGGTTAATCCAGCCCTTGTGGACTCCAAACATCCCATTGTACACAGGGGTGCCACGGACTCGCACGGTCTCGTGTGCATCCTCACGTTCAAGCATTCCTGACTCCACCAGGTTCTTGACGATCAAGTCATATTCTGTGCTGGACTCCACCAACACCGGCGCGGAGTACCGGACATCACCAAGTTCATCATCAGGTATGCGGAGAAGCTCGGGATCATTCACAAAATCCCTCAGTCCTGGGTCTACAGTCTCAGATAGCTCAACCCGTCCAGCTTCGCCTGGTCCAGGCACATGAGGCGCAATGGCAGCCCAGGTCAGCTTGTATGCCTTTGTAACTTCAAAACCTGTGTAGAAGTCACCCAAAGCCTGCGACTGGACCTCCCAGTTGGTCACCTTCAATTTGGCCTCGTCATGGTCCAGCCATAGCCCGATCATCTCCTTCAGGTGCTTGATCACTGCCTCTTGCTCTGGGGTCCAAGTCCTTGGGTGTGGCATGACCTTTCCCAATGGTCTTGAGCCGCCACAGAACATGGAATTGAGCACGGCCAGGATCAATCCCAACCATGCATCGGCACCACATTCCCTGGCAAGCTCATCCATCAGGGCTCTCTCCGAGGCCACCACAGGTCTAGGACCCTCGTCATCAACAAGCAATCGCTGCAGCCGGAGCTCGACCTGACTGTCCTCAGGAATTGCAATTGGGAGCAGCTCGACAGGCGTCTGTCTAAAGTGCCGTCTAGCGCAGGCTGGCATCATTCGAATCAGATTTCCCAGATGCCCAGGGCAGCGCCGCAGGACCTGCTTGAGCGCCACCCCGATGAAGGAGACCGACACCTCATCGCTCAACTGCTCAGATAGAAAACGTTGACAAGTTTCCCATGTCCAGGTCTTCTTTTTGCCGCTGATAGTGAACTTCTCAATGATCTCCGTAGCTGCTGAAAAACCTCCAGGGTCCACATAGACTGCCCTGCCATCCAACACTCGGGCTGCATCCTCGACAGCTATGTTGTCAGCATAGTTCTCTCTGAAGATAGACGCGGGAAACATTTCACTTCCATCGCCCACGTACGCTCCGCCATCGAAAGCATCCCAACCAGAGAAAATTTCACGCACCTGTGTTGTCCCTACGACTCCAAGAAGTTTGCCTTCTTGAGCACGTTGATATCGGCCCGGCTTGTCTCGAGCACGGTCTCCACGGTGACTCAACGCCACCCTCACAAAGGCAGGGTCCCCTTCCATGCCACCCTCTTGGGTCAGAGGGGCGTAATATTTCTCCAAGAGCTTCAAGATGACTTCAGTTGAATGATCACTCCATTCAACCATCAAAGATGTGATATCCTGATAGACTTGCCTTTTGTCGTCCAGGCTCTCATAGCAGCCCAAGACGCCACCATACAGCGTGTGGAATTTCGGATCCTTGAGCAACTCATTGAACTTGACTCTGACAGGCCCCTCCAGCTCAGGCTGACAAAGGGCCAAATCTAGGGCAGGCAGGCTCAGGCGCCCTTCAATCAGCGTCACCTGCGCCCAAACCGGCCTTTCTTTCCTTTGCCCTTGCCCTTCTTGCCCCCGCCCTTCGGCTGGTTCATTGGCGGGTTGTCCTTCGTGTCTCCTTCTCCTTTTCCTTCTGTGGTCGTGTTGTCGGGGGCCCATTGTGAGGTCCATGCCTGCTGGGGCCGCTGTGGGCGCGCAGGGCCTCGCTGGATCTTCAACTCCTCCCTCACCTCCATCTGTGCGGCCTTCAATTCCGGTCTGAAGACTGCCGTCATGTTGTCGTCCAGCACCAGCTCCAACTGTGCCGCCTGGACCCATGACTGCTGCTTGTGCGCCAGTTCCAGGGCTTTGAACCGCTGCACTAGGACGTCCAAGGCCCGAAGTGGATCGTTGAGGCAAACCAGGTCGATCACCTGAGCCACTGTCTTCATTTCTCTGAGTGTGCGCACTCCCACCGTCCCTGGTGGATGCTGTGCTTGAAACACGCCTGCCAGGTAGCTTGTGCCCACTGCTGGAAGGCTGTCCTTGTGCTCCAACGCCGTTCCCCTTCCCTGCGCCTGCATCACCAACTCCTGCATGCGCTGCAGGCTCAACGAGGCTAGCTTGCCCGGCTGCTTCTGGTGTGTGCGGCGGAGACGTTCCATGCCTCTGGGAAGGGCGGCTGAACGAAAAAGCTCGCCTGATGAGGAGCTCGTTGATGGGCTGCGCCTCCTCTTGCTCTCACTGCTGGAGCTTATGGCTTTCTTCTTTTTCTTGTCATCCTTTTTCTTCTTCTTATGACCACCATGAAGCTCCAGGGCTGAGAGCCGTGGCTCAGGAGGAGACTTTTGCATGAGCTCCTGGCGAAGATCATCTCCAGCTGACTTCAGCTCACGATCACCCTTGTCCTTGCGAGCTTTCTTACGTTCACCTTCCTGCTCCTCAGACTGCAGCTTCTTGCGCTCTCTTCCATCTCTCTTCTTTTGTTTGTCTCGGCGCCGGCGTCGTTCAGAGGACTCCCCGTCACCAAGGTCCGGTTGCTTGACGGCATCAGCCCCTCCTCCAAGGGCCCTGGCCAGCCCCTCAATACCATCGCGCCCCGTTTGCACAGCATCACCCATACCGCGTGGAGGTTCGGGTTCCCTAGGCACAGGAACATCCCCATGCCCAGGAGGATCCTTACCCCCAATGACGGCAGGGTGAGCTCTGATCAGCGCCTTCTGGGGGTCTGTGAGCCAGCTCAATCGATCTGCTTGGGTAGCCGTCACAAGTCTGAACACATCCACATGGAGGGGATTTCTGAAGGCCGTGCTGCTGCGACAGGCGCGCACTGGGACGTCGCAGAAGTGGAAGAATGTGACCGGTGAATCTTCCAATCTGCCATGTAGGTTCTGGAACCAGTACTCGTAGTATCCGTCCTCAATGGCGAGCACTTGTCCCTCAAAGACACGGCCCCCATTGATCTGCGACTCCAAGGCTCCTCCTGTAACACAGCCAAGGACTCGCCCTTGTTGTCTATGATGATCATCATATGCTGCAAACTCGAAGAGGACTCCTGAAGCCAGTCCTTCGAAGTGCCGATGATCGGCATGCTGGCCGGTCCTCCTCCATGGTGCCATCCGATCTCCAGCCATCTAGTTTTCTCCCCCACCTGGAAAGACTCACAGGAGAACCTGTCCCAAGAGACGGGCTCCCCCAGCTTCCCAGAGGGTTCGAAAACCAGAGACCGAAAGGACGGCTTCAGCTAAAACCCTTCAACCTTAAGCAAAGAGCTACAGTCATACGAAATGTATCACACTATATGACTGGGGACCGTTTACTATGATATGATGTGTACATATGATGATATTTGTATGTATATATATATATAAATATATACGCATATGACATGTGATTATTCTTGTTGTTAGAAAATCAAATTTCTATGCATGTCCACAAATAGTTGCTCCTACGCAGCTTGTTTATGAACGTCTTCATGTGGGCTTGTACATTTACATATATATATATATATTATGTTATATATTATGAGTTTGCGGTATATATATATATTGTATTATATGTGTAACCCCATGTTCTTTATTCATAACCCCATCTTCTTGGGGTTGGGTTCCATTGTGTTTTTCACAGCTTGGCTGGCTCCAGCATGCTGACTCATGTCGGCTTGGGTCAAAACGGAAAACTACCCCTGGACATAGATTCTGCCCATGTTTTGTAAAGGAAAAAAGCATTACAATGTTTCAACATATACATTCAATATTGGTATACATTGGAATAGACATGTTAAAACTATTCATCTATGCACAGAAAAAACATGTACATCTTAAACGAAAATCTTCATCATGTCCCCCCGATATCCCCAAACTTCGAGATTTTTCGGGGTCATCGCCCCACCTGGCCACTCTTCAAGATCGCAGCAAAGGCCCCATGCGTGGCGTGAAGCTCTTCCACTCCACTCAGCTGGTCCTGGCAGGCTTCGCGACTTCGCTGAGGCCCAGTTCTTTGCTGAGGTCACTCCAGCTAGTTATAAAAGGAACATCTCCCCTCTGGCCCCTTAGTTATCATATTTGTTTACTGATATATATATATATATATGTATATATAAATATATATATATGTATATATTATGAATATATTATGCATATATAAATAATGTATATTGTAAATATATATATATGTATATATTATGTGTATCCTATGTATATATATATTATGTATATTGTATATATATATATTATGTATATATATATATTATGTATATATTATGTATATATTATGTATACATTATGTATGTATTATGTATGTATTATGTATATATATTATGCAAATATATTATGTATATATATATATTATGTATATATATTATGTATATTATGTATATATTATGTATATATATATTATGTGTATATATATATATTATGTATATATATATTATGTATATATACGTATATTATGTATATATACTATGTATATTTTATATATGTGAAAATATTATATCATATTATATTATATCATATAATATTATATCATATTATGTTTATACATGTATGGGTTACACGTGAGTTATATATGGTGTTGTATATGGATTATATGTGGATTACATGCGGGGTGAAATGTGGTACGTATTAAAAGAATAAAAGTTGTTACCCACTTCCTAGCTGGGATACATCCCCCAAAGTACATCCATTTCCCTTCAAGAATGAAACCTGGCCATTGAGGAATGATTTCCGGGGATCTCATCAGGGAATCCCTGTGTCATGTTTCGGAGTGAAAATGAGGACTTACCCAGCCGACATGTTTCAGATGTTTCACAGCTTCGGCGCCCCAACAATGGATGGATGCACGATTTAGCCTTGTCCTAAAGCTCTTCATGTTCCATCAGTAACCCTTGGCTATCCCTCATCACCGGCGTTGATCAAGGTGGAGCTCAAAAGTCTCTCACATTTCGCCGCCAACAAAATCATAGGGGGATGCTTGTTTAATACTTCTATGATTATAGTGGTTAATGATTGGTTAACAATGGTTAATAACGGTTAATGATTCTTGTTTTCCCAAAAAAAACATCTCAAAACATCTTCAGCACTTGCAAATTCTGGCGAAGAAAAGCCACCAAAGAATGAAATGGTCCGCCCAGTCATCCTTTTGAAACAACACATCCAAAGTCAGTCCACCCAGTCCGTCCGCCAAATCCACCAATACCTCCAACCCGGACCTGCACCATGCTGCAATCGCCCCCAAACTCAGCCTTGGATTTGCTTCCGACGATCACAAAAAATCTGCCCGTCGCCCACCTGTTGGGTTTACCCCATGGGTATATAATAGCTGGTTGGTGGTTTTTCGCCTACCCCTCTGAAAAAACTGAGTTCGTCAGTTGGGATTATGAAATTCCCAATTCATATGGAAAGTCATAAAAAAAAAAATGTTCCAAACCACCAATCAGATAGGCTATATTAACATCTTTGCAAGTCCACCAACCCGGCCAAAAAACTGAAACCAACCAAAATCCAGGTCGTCGAGAACTCCAACTTAAATGGCCAAGTTCACATATACTTCACATAGTTCCCAACAAAATCACACCTTCCAACAAGAATCAGGAACAAAAATCATCAGAAAGCAAACATCATCAAAGATCATCCAACTAATTGTTCAGTGCTTTCTGTTGTTTGCCCCAAAAAAAGATCATCTTTCACTGGTTTTCTTCGCAACCAAAAAAACAAAATGGACCCAACAGAATCCAGAGTTCTCCATGGCATAACTTTCTGGTGAATTAACCCCAACTATGGTTAATCCTGGATCCCAAGAAAAACCATAGATAAGAGAATATATATATATGATATAAGAATTATTCTATAACCATAACCATGGGGACAACCATAGTTTTTCATGTGAATTAGCCATGGTTAATTATTATATGGCATAACCATGGGCTTAACCATAGTTGTTCATGTGAATTAACCATTGTAAACATAACCATTAATTAATTTTGCTTAACCATTTCTCGCATTTCACCAAAGTTTTTCATGTGAATTACCATCTGGTTATTTAACATAGCCATGGAAAATCCCCAAAATAAATGGAGCTTTCTAGCTGGGAAAATCATCTATTTCTATGGGCCATTTTCCATGGCTATGTTAAATAACCAGAGGGTACCCTCCACTAGATATGCTAATAGAAATGACACACAACCACCATCTGTGGATCATGTTCCTAGGATAAACCATTGGAAAACCATAGTCGTTAACGTCGTTAACCAAATCCAGGCAGCATCGCCCCAACAGCTCACGTGCCCCTCCAGCGTCGTCGCCGCAAAGGCCTTCGAGGACGCCGTCAGCCGCCGCAGCGACGGAGCCGTCGGCGCCGGCATCGTCATCGGCGGCACGAAGCGGCCCCAGGTGACTACGGAGCCGTCGGCGCGCCTAAGCGATAAAAACCAGTGGAATATAGTGGTTATGTAGTGGTTATATATATATATAGTGATGATATTCTAGTGATGAAAACTATAGAACTTTACCAACTCTTTGGAATATACTATAGAACTTCATTCGCCAATTGTTTGGTGTTCTAAAAGGATTGGTGAAGTTGGATTTATGGCTCTTGACGATAGTTGGGCTGATAAACCAACTTGCACGGGGTACTTCATAGAATTCGTGTATTTAACCTCGATCTATGGCAATTATCACGAGAAAATGAATCATCATAAATCTGTAAATCAGATGTTTTGATCGGGATTCAACCAACCCTTACAAATAATTTGTATGTACGTCCACTACAAAAAATTGCATTCTATACGTATACTGTAGCATGTCCAGCGGTGATGCACCCAACTTCGTGAATGTGATTCGACAATCAATCAATGGAGATACAACAAACAATATCAATACAATACCCAATTAATAGGGCTGGCCTGTAGGAAATCTAACACTAAGGAAACCCATGTACGAGTAGAGGATGAATTGATTGAAATGGGTGGTTTCTTACGATGCCACTCGTCATGTTTACCAGAGAGCAATTATAGCGCAACAAGAATCGGCAAACAAACGGGGAATGAGAGGGAATACAAATGCTAAATATATTCAAAACAAACCAATGTGTCCATAGTATGTCCGAACCTTTGAAGCTTTTCTCTACCATAAAAGGCTGAAGTTTGTGGGTCTCCGTGGTCCGTGCTGATGCCATCCGTCGTTCTTGCCACTGCAATCGGGAAATCCCCAAAAATGAAGATTATCATGGTAAACTCCCCAAACTAAATGGGCATGTTCCCATTGGGTCTCCAGTAAGCCATGTATTCAATGTTTGATTCCCTGCTCCTGCCACGGTCAACACTTCCGCCCAATAGCTCAAGCAACTCCGGATTAATCTGCTTCTCAGCGGTAGATATGCAAACGTTACAATTACATTACATGAATTATACTGTTACACTTTAAAAAAGTACATGTCCATTTGCAATTACAATACGTTACGTTACATTAATTACTTTACCTAGTATTGCACTGCATGACATTCTAATACATTCCATTACAGTACCTTCATTACATTACATGAATACAGATGAAAACAAACAAACAAAAAACTATCACATATACATGCCTAAGCCCATCAATGTAGATACACCTACTTACCGTAGAGATAGATAGATATGTATATATATATACCCTTCGATAATCAAACATGGCAATTGAAAATCTGCCAATTTTTGGTGGTTTTATGAGAAATTCCTCGAACTATAGCTCGGGTATTTTCCAGCAAGCCACGTTTGATTATCAGACGGTATATGTCTGTTCTATGCGCTCTGCATGTGTCTTATACCAGCTTTATATGGTTTTCATGTGGGTGCTCTATGCCATTGCATAGCATTTATATGGGTTTTCTTCCAAAAAGGTTTTCCAGAGGTTTTCTATATTCTTTATATGGCGTTGACATTCCGAGGTTTTTTTCGGCATCGCCAAGTTTCAGAGCTGCAAAAGCTGCTTGGGAACCTTCCACTGCCACCACCTCCTGCAACCATGACAGGGGCCCCCAAGAGATAGCGTGCTGCCGAAAAGTGGCTGAATGAACTATGGCTTATGGATGTTTATGGTAGATATAACGAACTTTTGTTCATGGATGTTAATGGAGACCAATTGATGTATGATGGATTTTCAATGGAGAACTGATTGGCAATTGATAATCATCAATGGATATGATCTTAACTAAAGCCTCCATTTTTGATGGGTCCAATTGCCATGTTTGCTTAGCAGAGGGTACATATACATCCCGCCGGGTGCGGAATCGCGCGTGTAGGCGCATCACCATTGTCAAAAAATGACAACCTTTTCAGTGTTTCGTAGCCGTCTCAAAGTAAAAATATTTTTAAAAAATCATTTTTCTTGCGTTTGGCAACCCTTCCACACGAAATCCGGACCTTTTTTTGCCTTGCCAGTTTCAGTGATCATTGTGCATGTAGACCTGTGCTGTTTTTTTCAACAGGTCAGGACACAACGCGTTTTCCCATCTCCATTGCCAGGATCGAATGTATTGATCAGGATCTCCCCATGCTCAGCCTAGCATCAGTGGCGTGTTCAACTTCAAACGAACGTTAACATCCCCACCCCACCCCATGCTCAGCGTCGCATCAATGGCGTGTTCAACTTCAAACGAACGTTAACATCCCCACCCCACCCCACCCCACCCCATGCTCAGCGTCGCACCAATGGCGTGTTCAACTTCAAACGAACGTTCACATCCCCACCCCACCCCATGCTCAGCGTAGCATCAGTGGCGTGTTCAACTTCAAACGAACGTTCACATCCCCACCCCACCCCATGCTCAGCGTAGCATCAGTGGCGTGTTCAACTTCAACCCAACGTTCACATCCCCACCCCACCCCATGCTCAGCGTAGCATCAATGGCGTGTTCAACTTCAAACGAACGTTAACATCCCCACCCCACCCCTGCTCAGCGTAGCATCAGTGGCGTGTTCAACTTCAAACGGACGTTCACATCCCCACCCCACCCCATGCTCAGCGTAGCATCAATGGCGTGTTCAACTTCAAACGAACGTTAACATCCCCACCCCACCCCACCCCATGCTCAGCGTCGCATCAATGGCGTGTTCAACTTCAAACGAACGTTAACATCCCCACCCCACCCCATGCTCAGTGTAGCATCAATGGCGTGTTCAACTTCAAACGAACGTTCACATCCCCACCCCACCCCATGCTCAGCGTAGCATCAATGGCGTCTTCAACTTCAAACGAACGTTAACATCCCCACCCCACCCCATGCTCAGCGTAGCATCAATGGCGTGTTCAACTTCAAACGAACGTTCACATCCCCACCCCACCCCATGCTCAGCGTAGCATCAGTGGCGTGTTCAACTTCAACCGAACGTTAACATCCCCACCCCACCCCACCCCAGCCCATCCCGCGTTGCCAGTTACGTGAACATAAGAGTGCAACATGGTGTGTTAGCTCAAAAACATGATGTGAAATTGGGAATGTTGAAAATGTGTGTCACTACACGTACGGTTTTGCACCCGTTAGCATATACATGTACATATAAATATATATATATGTGTGTGTGTGTATCATGGTATCCTGGAATCGTATTGTTCTTGTACTGCTGGGTTGTTGTGTTGTTGTATTGTTGTGTTGTTGGATCCTTTCACTGTCTGTGCATGTAGGGTACGCAGGTGCGCAGGTACGCAGGTAGGTAGGTGGGTAGGCAGGTAGGTAGGCAGGGTGGCAGGTTGGCAGGTTGGCAGGTAGGCAGGTAGGCAGGTAGGCAGGTAGGTACGTATGTACATACAGTAATATATAATGTACAAGAAATGTGTATACATATATATATATATATATGTGATCGTGTGTGTATTCATGTATGTTCGTTTCCTGCCTCTTACCTTCCTGAAGTTTAGATGATCAAGCTGTTCACCGCTTTGCATGGATCTACATTTGCACATGAAAAAGTAAGCAGGAGCAGACTTTGGGCACTTTACCTAGCTTTGAATTTTTGGACGTCCAACGCTCACCAAAAACAAGAGACATCCATCCCAGTTCCATTCATCACCCGTCCTGAAGTTCAGCGCGAACGGCGCTACTGTCACCACCAAACGTATCCTCAGTGCGTCAAACTCATGCAAGGATGACCCCATACATACTTCGTTCAAGATTCTACTAGGCATTGAACAAAATGGAGGATGTCTATTGCTTAGGCCTCTTGCGGTGTTTGGGCCGCTGTTTATATGTGCAGGCATTCAACTTGTCTGTTCCTAAAAATACAGGCATAGTGAGGCAGGAGCGCTCCTGCTGTGATGGGTCCATACCAGGAATCCCTTCCCCCTAATATTCACCAGCCCCCAGAAACTATGGAGCTTAGTGGGGGTATTTACACGTATGATGGGATATTTAATATTACAGCTGTGGGATTATAAGTGGATTGATAACCCAAATCGTCTGCTATGAGGTGCCCCTTCCGAAAAGCTGTTGAAGTCCACAAGTCGGACCACGTTTTATCATGAAAAACCCAGAATTTGCAGATTTTTTAGCCTCTGGTTATGTCAAAATAGCTATTGAAAATGGCCATGTATAGTGGATTTACCCATTGAAAATGGTGATTTTCTATAGTTATGTTAGTTTACCAGAGGGTAATACATGGAAAAGCTATTCAATTTTGAGCAAGCAAATTGCCCACCATCTTATCCTAAACCATGATTTGATTGGAAAACCTCAACCTAGAACGACCTAGAACTTGCTTCATCAAAAAAAAAAGTTCTTTTCAGGAATTTCACCCTTTCCCTTGCTCTTCGGCCCGTTGACCCGTTTGGTTCTGACTGATGTTCCTGGTCACAAAACTTGGGAATTGCCGCAATGCCATAGGCAACCTACCATGACTGGGGATGGTTTTATCACCCATAAAACGTGGTGACTTTGGGATGTTTTTCATAAATCTCAAGCAGGTCCCCACTTCGAGACAGGCATCCCAGTTTACGATTTTTCTGTCGATGTCCCCAATTCCTGCGGTATAGTCCTCGCTTAAAATGGCCAATGGTTTTGGCCCCACTTTCTGCTCCTAAAAACCTTCATGTAGTGGTGAACGTCCCTGTTGGTATGGTGAAACTCAATTTCCGTTGACAGTAAAACAGTTGTTGTTTGTTTTTAAAAAACGCGTTTTTTTGGTGGCTCAACCCCAATTTTTTCGTGGTTTCACCATGCTTCACCCTCCATCTCCGCGATCGCCACGACACATCGCCCCATGTCACGACCCGGCCATCACTCCGAAGCGCTGCGAAAGCGCCATACGAGGCGCTCAGCGCAATCACGTTTCGCAGCTGGTCCTGGAAAAAGTTAGGACTTTTGGAAAACCCAACAGTTTTTGAAATTTCTTGGCTATCAGACTACCCTCTGGCAATGACTAAGAGTTTGCTACTCAAGCCACGGTCCATCTATATATAGTTGATTTACCGAACTTCAAGATGGTCATTTTTCATAGCTATGTTAGTTTGCCAGAGGATAATATTACCTATATCTATGTTTGATGATGTGTTTTTTTGCAATTCATCGACCTGAAATCAATTGGTTTTGGATGGTTTTGGGCCGACAAAGCCAACACCCCCGTCATCTACTGTGACAATAGCCAAGGTTCCGTAACGGCAACTTGCGACGTACCTTCTCCCAATGTGTTTTTTCTGAAATTGGGGTATAGCCCCCGAAGGGAATGTCTTATCTATACCCTCTGGTAAACTAACATAGCTATGGAAAATCCCTATTTTTCATGGGTAAGGTAAATCCACTATAAATGGCCATTTTCAATAGCTATGTTAAATTACCAGAGGGTATATATATATATATTTGCCAATGCGATCATGATTTTCCAACTGGGTTTTCCCAATCTTCACCATTCACCATTCACGGATTTAGAAATTGTCCTCCAAGCTCCATCTGGGTTTTCATAAATTCACTACCCTGAAATGGGTGTGGGTCAAAATTGGGTACCCCGATAATTAGATGAGAATAAGAAAAAGGCGTTTCATGACATTTCAATCTCTGGTCCAGGTCTTTAATTTTGCCTACCCAAATGGAGTTTTCCCAACATGTTAAAATGGGGGATCCGGGGTACCATGACTTAGGAAAGCCCCATTTTTCTTGGGACCTTTTGGGATCCCCTGGGACCCCACTAAGGGCTTGATAATCCATTCATATCGCCCTACAATAATCTCATAAATATATATATATATGTATATGTGATTATTATATATGTACATATATATATATGTATAATATATATATATATATATATACATATGTATATATATATACATCCCATAGAATCAAGTGCAAATCTTCCATTCATCTATAACTGGGCTTTCTCTTCACCTTTTGACGATGGTGGGAACGGTCCCACCACCCTGCCTGCACCGGTCCACTGCATCCGCCCGACTCGGGATGTCCCCAGGTCACCACGAAGCCGTCGTGCCGGAGTGCGGCGAAGGCTTCGGCCGAGGCGCAGACCGAAGACACGTCGCGGAGCTTGGCGCGGACCGCGGGACTGTGGCAGCCTCGCCACGGGAATCCCCATGGGAATCGCCATGGGAATCCGGTGAAACTCAAAAATGATAAAGCCAATTAATGGGTTAACTATAGGTTGTAATCCAATGAACTTTTTTGGGAGAAAAATGACGGGAAATTCAGATCAAAATATGGCAGATGGGTTTTGAATGGGATTTTACAAGCAGGGATCGCGGTTGATGATGGCTAGTTTGGTGGCCACCGAGGCTTGGATTTGTGGATCCCAAAATACTGTGGGGATCCATAGGTCAAATGACCGATGATCCAGTGAACTTATGGAAGTGGTCGAAAAATCATGAGGATTGTCCAGGCTCGATTCACACCCACCGCTGTTCAGCTTAAAGGTCATGTTTGTTGTCCCAAGATGTTGGATGATTCGACTAGTTTTGGCGATTTTTTGGCTCAATGATTTGACCAATTCCCGTAAATTAAGAAACATCCTTGTCGGATATCTCCCCAATGTCCTTTGTTTGCCAGTTGAATAACCATGATCTGATACCCCACAAGGCGGTGACCCAAATAGTTGAAGTAGCTCAATGGGTTTATAACTCCAATAATTGGGTTTGGTAGATATATTGAACATTATTGAACTATTTAATAGGAGTAATTGACCAAGAACTTGCAAGTTTTAGCTGCATATGACATGCTTGGTTGGGTATGATTGATATTCCCTCAATGGCTTAAGATGAGATATCATGGTGCAATCTCATCCCCTAGTTTTCAACACTCCTCAGAAACCATGCTTCGAAAAAAATACGGGACTTTACACATCTTTGGGACCATTCACCTAACCATTCACCATGGGGGGTGTAACTTATAATGTCAACCCTGGATTAATAAACCCCTAAGCTGTCATTGGGAGGGTACCATTGAAGTATTAGATGAAATGACTATTGGAGGAGTTTTCCCCTAATGAGTCAACCAGGCTAGATCTTACTCCGGGGTTGACATTATTGGGAGATGGCCAGAAAAAAAAAACATATTATATATATATAATATTATCGAAGGAAGTTTAGAAGTCAAACTTCCGACAATATGGAGAGATGAAAAAGCAGTCAGCAGGGAGAAGAGTCAGAAGAGAAAAGATCAGAAGAAAGAAGATCAGAAGAAAGAAGATGCAGTTGCGCGAAAAGGTAGGAAAGTCGTGAAACACTGTGTTTTTTCGTGGTTTTGTGGCTCCGGAGGGTTGAAAATAGGCTCGCTAAAGCGGCGGGTGCGGAGACATCTGGGGAGATGAGAGATGAAAAGTTGCACGCCGTTGTGGCGCGAAGCCGATTTCGAAGTGAAAAGGTACAAAACATCTCAGCGCCGGACCGCTTTTGGAAGTTGAGATGTTGAAAAAGTGCACGCCGTTGTGGCGCGAAGCACATTTCCAAGTCAAAATGTACAAAACACCTCAGTGTCGGACGACTTTTGGAAGTTGAGATGTTGAAAAAGTGCACGCCGTTGTGGCGCGAAGCACATTTCCAAGTCAAAATGTACAAAACACATCAAAACACCTCAGTGTCGGACGACTTTTGGAAGTTGCGATGTCGAAAAAGTGCACGCCGTTGTGGCGCGAAGCACATTTCCAAGTCAAAATGTACAAAACACCACATGTTCGCGCCACTTTTGGAGGTTTGGATATCGAAAAAGTGCACGCCGTTGTGGCGCGAAGGACATTTCGAAGTCAAAACGTTAAAAACACCAGGGGTTCGGACCACTTTTGGAGGTTCAGATGTGGCTTCGCTTCACTACACTACACTACATTACACTACACTACACTCCACTACACTACACTACACTACATTACACTACACTACACTCCACAACACTACAACTACAACTACACAACTACACAACTACACAACTACACTCCACTACACTCCACTACACTCCACTACACTCCACTACACTCCACTACACTCCACTACACTCCACTACACTACAACTACAATACATTCCACGACACTACAAACACAAAAATACACAACTACACACTTACACTCACTACATCCATAAACTAAATTACAAACTTACACTAACTCAACTACACTACACTACCTTCCACTACACTTCACTACATGTACATTACAATAACTACACTACATACACTACAACTAAAAATACAAACTACAGCTATAACTACAACTACACAACTAGACTACACTCCACTACACTCCACTACAGTAAATTTCACCTCACTACATTACACTACACTACGCTCCACTACACTACACTACATTAAATTACACTACACTCCACTACACTACATTACACTACACTACGCTCCACAACACTACAACTACAACTACACAACTACACTCCAATACACTCCACTACACTAAATTACACTACACTACACTACACTACATTACACTACACTACACGCCACTACACTACATTACACTACACTACACTTACCCCCTCAACATCCACTACAACGTAGACATTACATTACATACACTACACTCAACTACACCAAACTACAACTACAACTACACTCACTACACACTCCACTACACTCCACTACACTCCACTACACTCCACTACACTCCACTACACTACAACTACACTACACTACATGACACTACACTACACTCCACTACACTACATTACACTACACTACACTACCTTCCACTACACCTCACTACATTACACTACACTACACTCCACTACACTACAACTACAACTACAACTACAACTACAACTGCAACTACACAACTACACTCCACTACACTACACTACATTACACTACACTACACTCCACTACACTACACTACACTACATTACACTACACTACATTACACTGAATGACACTGCACCACAGATAGACAGGTAGCCAGATAGACAGATAGATAGATAGATAGACAGAGAGATAGACAGGTAGACAGCTAGACAGATAGACAGATGAAAGCGAGATAGATAGATAGATAGATAGATAGACAGACAGACAGATAGATAGATAGATAGGTAATTAGATGGAAGAGAGAGAGAGAGATAGAGAGATCGATAGATCGATAGATCGATAGATCGATAGATCGATAGATCGATAGATCGATAGATAGATCGATAGATCGATAGATCGATAGATCGATCGATAGATCGATAGATCGATAGATCGATAGATCGATAGATCGATAGATCGATAGATCGATAGATCGATAGATCGATAGATCGATAGATCGATAGATAGATAGATAGATAGATCGATCGATAGATAGATAGATAGATAGATAGGTAGATAGATAGATAGATAGGCAGATAGATAGATAGATAGGTAGGTAGGTAGGTAGATAGTCAGAGAAAGAGGGAGAAAGAGGGAGAAAGAGAGGAGACCTCAAGCACCTTTTGGTCCATCAGTGGCTTCGCTCTGCCATCCCTGATTCGCAACAACCAACCTCTCCTATAGGTTTCCTATTTTTGAAACTTCCGCCACCGCCTTGTGCGGTACTACTGGTATATCATTATTTCCTATAGTAGTTGGTGGTTTCAACCCCTCTGAAAAATATGAAAGTCAGTTGGGATGATTATTCCCAATATATGGAAAATAAAATTCATGTTCCAAACCACTAACCAGTATATATATAATGGCCATATATCATGGCCACTATTGTGTTGGCGCCTTGTGGGGCTTATTCTAGAAAACTGCAATCTTGAAAAAATGCAACATGTAATGCAAAAGAAAAGCAAATGAAAAATGCAAAAAACATGCAAGGGCAAAAACACAATGCAAAGAAAAAGCAAATGAAAAATGCAAAAAAAATGCAAGGGCAAAAACACAATGCAAAAAAAAATACAAAAAAAATGCAAGGGCAAAAACACAGTGCAAAAAACACAAATAATTACTTACTCTCTGACATACTTCTTAATTCTTGTTGGTACTGTTCATTCCCTTTTAGAATTTCATGTTTCCCTAGTCTTCTGTGCAGGCTTTACTACCCTGTCCAAGCTGATTTGTTGTTTCGATTTGTGCTGCATGTGCCATGTTCCCTTTTCCCAGGTCGCATTTCTCGCAATGTTTTTCCACAAGTTATGTGTGTCTTCTTCCAACTTGCCCTTGTTCTTTCCAAGTGTTCTGCATTTGTCACCTGTGCCTCTTTCAGGTTGTCTTCATTTGCTACCGTGTCCTCTCTCAGACTTACATTGTTCAATGCATTTGTTTTGCAATTGTTATTTTCGCCTTTCTGAAACTTGCATTTTTCAATTCCATTTTTTTTGCAATTGTCATGTTTGCCTTTCTCAAACTTGCATGTTTCATTCGCATTTTTTTTGCAATTGTCATTTGTGCCTTTCTCAAACTTGCATTTTTTTTGCATTTGTCATTTTTGCCTTTCTCTGAGTTGCATTTTTCAATCCCATTTTTTTGCATTGTTTCTGCATTTTTTTCAAGTTGAAAATATTCTAGAACAAGCGCAATTCGACAGCACAAGGCCACTATATATTGGGAGATGGGACTACGGACTACCAATTTTCACCACCAATCCACCAGCTGCTTCAACAACAGTGGGGCCTCCGTAGAGAGGATTTCCCCAGGAAACCAGTTGACCATCTGCGCGAAGCGCCGCAAAGGCTCCATAGGATGCCGTGACTTCTTGGATGTTCACCAGCAGATCGCGCACCTCCTGGAAAAATGGGTGATTCATTGGGTTGGTTTAAGGGAAAATCTACAGGAAAACATGGTTTTTACCATCAAATATAGGGCTTTCCTGTAAATTTTCCCATCATCCAATTCTATGGGTGATCTTTTTGGGGGGAATCTTGGAAAAATCTCAGTGTTTTCGAGTTGAAAATTTGGGGTTTACCACATTGCTGATACCCTGTGGTAAACTAACATAGCTATAGAAAATCACCATTTTGAATAGGTAGATCAACTATAAATGTGGTATTTTCAATACCTATGTTAAATTACCAGAGGGTACTTCGATGGAGGGATTTTTAGTGCCTCAAATTGTGACCACCCCAACACATTTGGGCTGAAATTCCCCATCCAAGCTGCGTAGCTGTCGCTGCCGAATTCCCTCATGCCCCAAGACACCACTGAGCCATCCTGTCTGCGATGGAGACGGATGGGATGTCAGAGGTGTACTACATGGATTTACCAACAAACATGGGGATGCATATGGGTTTATAGTGACGAAGAACTTGGTAGAACGTAAAAAGTGGTGTCCACATGATTCTATTTTGAAAAATGGACCAACGGTTAGAACGTCTCAAAGTTCTTACAGGTTTTTGATATGTTTCAAGGTTCTAAGTTTTGGACCCAGCAGCTATCTCACTCCGTATAGATAATCGATGTAGAGTAGTATCCCATTTTGGTCTTGCCCTCCCGCATGATGAGAGCTCTTTGTATCTTTTGAACACTGCGGGCATGTGAACGTCCCTGAAACAGTTGAACCTTAAGATACTGTGGATGGAAGAAATCCTGCACCAGTTGATAGGTGGTTTATCCCATTATTTATAGGGATTCAACCATCCAAGGTGGTGCAGGATTTCTTCCATCCACCGTATGAACTAGCGGTCTTATCTAGATGTACAGAAATTAGATGTTTATGGCGGGTTGAGCAACAAAAAGCACAACAAGTGTTGGGGCCAATCTTAGAAAGCCTAACTTGTGCATATAGTTGTTGTGCGTGACCAACAAGAAATCGGAGAGTAACAAACAAAAAGCATGATAGAACCGTTGGTCATGGGGCTAACTAGCCAGAAAATGATTTCCATGGGAATATGATACGAGTGGAATCCAAAAACATCATAGAACCCATGGGGCGATGGGGCTGATCTTAGGAACCTGGGCCCTGCTCAAGCTTTACCCAGAGATGTGGATCCATGTGGTGGTATCCTAAGTCACGGGAGATCCCCCCAAATCATCCAAGTCCTTGAAGATCCCCCATGACTTCAGAAATGTCTAAATCATCTTCTCAATCCCACCAAAAATCACCCTAATTTTTTTGTCACCATAAACCTATTGGGTAAATCATGTTCATCCCACCCCTGGCCATCCTGGCCATCCTGGCCATCCTGGCCATCCTGGCCACCTCCAGCACTGCCGCAAAGGCCCGCGCCGATGCCGCCACCTGCCGCACGCTTTCCCCGCCATGCAGCGCGGCCTGCAGCCCCAGCAGACCACGGTGCCGTCGCCTGATTTCATGGGGAATTAAAATTATATAGAGAATATGTAGGGATTCTATAGGGATGGGGGATTCTATGGGGATTCTATGGGGATTCTCCAGGGATTCTATGGGGATTCTATAGGGATTCTATAGGGATTCTATAGGGATTCTATAGGGATTCTATAGGGATTCTTGGGGTTGATGTAAGGATTGATATGGGGATTCGATATCCATACTGGGGGATTGAACCCTTCAAAGTGGTGAACCAAATCAAACATGGAGGACTAACAACTGAGCATGAAATATTGGTACCCAAGATGGGTAGGGCTATGCAGGGGGGATGATCTCATCGGTGCGGAAAAAATGAAGCAAAAAATTGAGGGATACCCTAGGGGAAACTAACACTTCGATGTGGGAAACCGAGCATGGGACAGTACATCATTTTCCGAGCTTTCCCCATGGCTTTTCCACATCTGGAAAACATGGCGCGGAGCGCTTCCGCCCTTCCAAAACTCACCACCCTCTTTGAGGGGCCCCTTGGGGGCCCTGGTCCCACAAGTATCCACAGAGATAACCAAAGATCTCGTTGGTCTTGCTCTTTCTTTTGCTGATTTCTAGTGTATTCTATCTTGTTTTTCAGCATCCCCTCGAGACCGCTCCGCAGTCGCCATCGAATTGCTATGTTCCCACCATCTGTGGGAGTTTCCTAAAATGGGGGTACCCCACTCTGGATGGTTTATCATGGAAAATCCCATTAAAGTGGATGATTTGGGGGTACCCCTATTTTAGGAAACCACCATTTCCTCCCCATGTTTGTCCCAGGTTAAAACCGTTCCCTTCCCCCCTTCCCAAGTCTTCCCAAGCTGCCCCACCCTTCGCCTCGCACCAAGGTAAAAGCAAAGGCATACCTGGGTCGCGACGCCAAAGTTGCTGGCTTGGCGAGTGCGAAGATGGTCTTGTTGCTCACCTCAGTGGAATGATGGTAACCCGGTAGCCCAACATCGGTTTTAACAGAAATCGTAGGTATTTTATCACACAATAATGGAAGTTAACTAGTCAAAAACCCTGGATTCAATCAAAATATGTGGGAAATTATTGGAAGTAACTCTACGTTTATATATATATATATTAATAAACATCAAAAGTGGGAACTTCAGTCCCAACAAATGGTGGGTTTTTGGTCAAAGTCTGAGGGATCAAGTCATAGGCAGTTGCCACTTTTACCAGGGTCATGTCTTAGGATCTGAAACGATCCATTTTTGCAGGAGGTCATATATGTATATATATAATATTCATATATGTACTTTAAAAAAAAACATATATGTGAAATGTATAATATATGATATGTAATGATTATGATATATATATATAGGCGATCCATTATATATATATATATACATATAATCCATATAATGATATCCAGTATGTTATTCTATATAATATATGTATATATATATATATGATTATGTGTGAAAAAATATTGATTATATCCTGCAATTTCTATCCATATCAGTGAGATATCCAAGCCAGCGATGCTTGGATGTCATGATGATTCCTGGTCCTGGTGGTGAACATATTTTGTGAAATTGTGTTGATAACCCATGATGCTGATTCCAGCCAGGGAAATGAAAAAATATAAACATGTTTCAGTTGCTTCACAATCTTGTTCTTCACAATCATAATCTTCATCAATTGAATCATCCAACGTTTGGTTTCAATATCTTAGATACCCTCTGGTAAACAGTCCCAGAAAACGATGGAAAGATCCACCATGCTATTAATGGGTAAATCCGCTATTTCTATGGCCATGTTCAATAGCTTTTTGTATGTTTACCAGAGGGTAATCTTCACCATCTTCGCTGCTCATCCCAATTTCACCAACCGGCAGCATTCAAAAAGAATACGCGAAACGACTCACGAAACCCCAAGAGTTTCAGGATCCAAATCTTTGGTTTGCTGGTGATTTTTTGGACCCATGCCCTCGTTTTTTCTTCTACTCTTTGGTAAACATACAAAAAAAGATAGACAATCACCATTTTTTAATGGGAAAATCAACTATAAATAGCCATGTTCAATAGCTATGTTTGTTTACCAGAGGGTAGATTCTATGTCTGATTCATTGAAACTCTGATGTTTGTTGGTCAATGGATCCATTGTTTGTATATATCTATGTATTTGCTGGCTGTACCCCACATACTCGCTAATTATATTCCATGTTGGTCGCTGAAGCGCCCATCTTTGACTGCGCAAATCAACCACCAACTCCCAATTTGGTTGATTAAAAAAAACAACTCCGATGTATGTTTGAGTCTAAACTCTGATGTATGCCTGTCCCAAGAAAATTGTCATATACGGTAATTGATATGGAAAAATGACCCCCAAGAATGCCCGATTTCCTCATGGAATGGCAAAGAAAGGTGGCACCTCTGAGATGTCCTCAGCATCCTTCAGCACTTCTCCTGATTTTCTCATCCAAAATCCATCGAAAATCAACGAAGTTCTGTTCCGAGGATTTCATGATGGCTAAAACAATGCCATTTTTATGGCCATTTGCACCATCCAGTCATCGCCATTTTTAGAATGGCTTTCCAGAGGATTTCATGGTGGAAAATCTTGGGACTGTCCAAGATTTTCACCGCCATGCGCAGCACCATTTTGGTGATACCCTCTGGTAAACAGTCCCAAAAAACGATGGAAAATCACCATTTTCAATAGGAAAATCCAAGATTTTGACTGGGCCATTTTCAATAGCAAACTGTAACAGTCATTACCAGAGGCTAAATCCCCTTAGAATCCCATCTATAGATCCCATTAAAGTCCATAAATCCCATTAACCATCTATAAATAGTAGATTTCCCATGGCATGTCATGGCATGCCGGATGCCCCAGCGGTGCGCTGTCGCAGGACGTTGCGGCGTTGCGGCCGTCCTTCCAGGACCAGTTGGCTGATGCCAATGCCCAACTCCTGAAACGCAGTGACCCCAAATCCAGCGGTCCACTGGTTCACTTATGTACAGGTGTGTATATATATATAGTTACATATATATATATATATGTATATGCATAATATATATATATAAACATATATATATGAATATAAAATCATTGATGATATCTATATATATATGTGTGTATATATATAATCATATATATATATATTCATGTTTATATATAATCATATATGTGTTCATATTTTTTATCATCATATATAATCACGTATATAATAATATATAACCATATGTACAATCAAATATATAATCATACAATATATATATATAATCATATAAAATATATATATAATCATATAATATATATATAATCATATAATATATATATATAATCATATAATATATATAATCATATAATATATATATAATCATATATATATATATGTTCATGTATATATATAGAGATTTATTTATATAATATATAATTATATATAAGCATATATATAATATAATATATACATATATATAATATAATATATATATATATACCATATAAATGATATATAATATACATAATATATATATATATGATATGATATATATAATATATAACCATATGCATATAACCACATATATAATCACATTTATATATATATATATGTATAATCTTATATGTCTGTATATATATATGCGTGTGTATATATATATATATTGTATATATGTTGTAGATATATATATAATTATATATATATATTACTGTATGTGTATGTCTTGTCTGATAAACTGATGCCATAAATTAGAGGGATACCTGGTTTTCAAACAACCCCAGTGCCGCTCCTCACATTTTTCCAGCTTCACTTATCTTCAAGCCTCATTTTTCTTGCTCAATTGCCTATGTTTATCCAGATATCTCCCCATTATATCCCATCAAATTGACATATGTTCTTGAATCCCCCATGTTCTAAACAAATTACATTGAACTCCCCTTTGAATATTGAATAATGTCAACCCCGGATTAATAAACCATGGTTTATTAATTAGGGGGGTACTCCTCCAATAGCCATAATCCAATACTTAAATGGTACCCCCCAATTAACCAGCCTAGGGGTTTATTAATCCAGGGTTGACATTACCCCATGTTCGGTGCTGACATCATTTGAATCCCAACCCAACGCCTTTTGCGCCGCCAGTCTCAACTGCTTCCCCGTCGCAACGCTTCGACTGACGTGGCAGCTTTGGCCACTGAGCAGCGCAACGTGAAAATCCATGGCAGGAGGCTGCGCTAAACCCATCAGAAATGGCATTGAACCATGGAAATCATGGATTTTCTTGGGAATTTGGGGGAATTCACTGTGATAAACAGGGAGTTGGTTTTTTGAAGAATCTGGATTTCACACGTTCACCATGAAAACTGGAAGTTAAACGTGTAAGGTGGGGATTGTTCATGGAAAATACTTAAGAATCCCAGTATCAGTTGTATATATCTGGTGTATTATCCACTGAAAAAAATATCATGACTGTTCCCCTAAAGCAATAGTTTGTATGAGGATTCCCATGGGTCATGGGCCATGATAACCCCGCTATTTTCCATTCCCCAATCTTCCTGGTCCCTGATCAACCGACCCCAAAACCGGTTTCCAGAAACGACCAAACTTCTTAGTTTCTTCGTGGTTTCGGGAGTCAATTTGAACCCGTCCCAAATGACTTAAATTACCCTCTGGTAAACTAACAGTTTGCTATGAAAAATGGCCCATAGAAATAGTGAGTTTTCCCATTAAAAATGGTGGATCTTTCCATAGTTATTTTAGTTTATCAGAGGGTACCCATCCTTACTGGGATGGTCACCTGACGTCTCGGTTTTCGTCGCTTTTCGCGCTCGTGATTCAGCGTGGCATTCAGAAGAAGTGCTGGCTGGCTCGACCCGGCCGGGCCTGCGAGGCTGGGGCCAAAAGGTATGTCTTATGTCCCACCAAATAGCTAGTTATTGATCTTGCTTCCACCAAAACTATATGGTATCTAAATACAATAGAGTATAGGGAAGCTCATACCGAGTTGGTATGGTTCATGACCGTTTTAGTTCACACAGTAGGAATAGTCCAAATTATTTGTAGGTTGAGTAAACGACTTCCTAATCAGGATGCACACTCAAACGCAGGGGTCCCAAACTTCCCAGAATTGGGTTAACCTTCAGCAAAACCGCTCGGACAGATTCCATTCATGATGGCAAAGTCTAAGACTCTAAGACCTGCTGGAACACACATGATGCAGAAAACATATCTTGTGACCCTTTGACTTTTGACCAGGGGAAGTTTCATGCTTAAGATGTTTAACAACTATTGTGTGCCGTTCACCATTGGAATGAACTACGTAACTACTTTTATTTACCATTGTACAGTACGTCCTATTAAATTCAAGGATCGTCTGTCATGATCTGTGATCTAGATCCCAATAATGTACATTAATTATATATATATATTCACATCCAATTCAACCATTATCATATCTCTGATTATCTCTGTACATCCTATTCAATCCATTTTCCGCAAAATTTACCGTCACCGGCCTGCTTGGAACGTCTCCAACAGGGTGGCAGTGCCCACGGGAAGAGCATGGCCTGCGATGAATCTAATACCCTGGCGGTTCAAAAAATAAAGGAGTTGGGGATTATTGGCCAAGAATTAGAGATCATTTGAGAATATTGCCCAAAAGCTGGATTATGCTGGATGAAAAATCATTTGCGGGAAAATCTGCTAGCTATGATTCTATCCATCAGGAATATAAGGGGTTTGGGCACCCCATTGAACCAACAAAACAAGCCCAGAAATATTACAGTACGTCACAAAACGGTTTCTGGTATGGTATGCCTTTCCCAGCCATTCTGGTCATTGTGCAACGTTCTAGATTCTAAACGGGATGAGAGAGTCGTCCTACAAGTATTGGGAACGTCAACCCACAGAAATGGCATGATATACCCAGGTTCTTCCTCCATTGATGGCCCCCCACTACCCAGCAGAACATATCAATGGATGCTCACGTCTCTTGGTAACGAACACACCTTTTCTCAATTCAATGGATGTTTTCCCCTATTCCAAGATGTTCCCTTAGATATTCTCATGGCAGGACATGGCTAATACTTGGAAAACTTGCATTTAAAAGAAAAAATGTGCTTCAGCAAAAAGATAGCCAGGTTTCTCTCCATCAGTAAACTGGGGACCATCCCAGATGTTGCTGATTCCAAAATATCTCCAAACGTCCAAAGGTGAATTCCCAAGTCGTGCCGAAAAAAAGCTGTTCCACCATGGTTTGGGTTGATGAAAAATAGGTTTTCCATCATGGTTTGGTAGTTTTGATGGGTTGAATCCCAAGTTTTGTTGGTTAAACTCCTAACTTTTTGCTTGGTGAAGTCCCGTTTGTTTCGTCGTCAAAAAAAAATGTTTGAAGTTCGAAATTACCCTCCTGTAAACCAACATAGATGTGGAAAACCTCTAGATCATGTTCCAAACAGCAAACCATCGGTTTTTCCCAGATCTCTTCGGTCAACTCCCCAGTTGCCCTACCTGAGCCTCCTTCTTCAGCTCCGGAGACATGGTTGCATCCTCGCGGCCTACTTCAGCGAGGCTTGTATGTTCATCGTACATGTTTTTATCCCTAAACCGGAAACAGGCAATGATGGATATGAAATGATAGTGGAGGGATCTTACTAAGAATAGTAACTTTATAGCTCTTAAATCAGAAGTGTTGGCCCGGAAACTGGGATGATTGCGCAATCCCGAATCATTGTTTGTCACTTTATAGGGTTTGGTCTTTCAGTGAGTTGCTCTCCTTCCAGCATCGACCCTGTCAGTGTCTATTTCGTTTGGGGGAATGGTATTCCTGAATGTTTTCCCGTTCTGAACTATCCAAATATTAATTGGGGTAACCAATTTTACACCATATATACACATATAATCTGTATGTATGTGTATGTATGTATGCATATATATATAATGTATGTACAAGTGTATATATATATATGCGTGTGTGTATATAAGTGTGTATGTATGCATGCATGTATGGATGCATGCATGGATGGATGTATGTATGTATGTATCTATGTATGTATGCATGCATGTATGTAATGTATGTATGTATGTATGTAATGTAATGTATGTATGTATGTAATGTAATGTAATGTAATGTAATGTAAGTAAGTATGTATGTATGTATGTATGTAATGTATGTATGTATGTATGTATGTATGTATGTATGTATGTATGCATGCATGCATGCATGCATGCATGCATGCATGCATGCATGCATGCATGCATGCATGCATGTATGTATGTATGTATGTATGTATGTATGTATGTAGTAGGCATCCTATATGCATGTACATGTGTACATACCCGATCCCGGGCACCTGGCGATGATGCAGTGGCCTGTAGGCAGCAGAACCACGGCTGCGGGTTTTTGTTCACTTGAGGACTTGGAAAATGTGAGACCATGTGAAAATACCATGAAAATACCATGAAAATGTAGTTTTTTTTTTCAGATTACTCAAAGTAAAATCGATGGATAAACTTTCATACGCAATTTGTTGAAGATGTTCCCTAGATTTCTTCATCAATGGCGTGCCAAGCAAGCTGTTGGCCCCATATTTTGATTTTCCTGATGGCTTATTTCTTTGAAAATCCCATGAAAATTTGGATGATGGTACCGGGGTAGCCTCATGAATTAACATCATTTAACCTCCATACGAATCAACAAAAAGTCCTTAGACATGAGAGTTTTTGGTCCAACTGGATTGTGATTATGAAACATAACACTCTGGAGCCATCAGAACAAGATGAGTCCCTTGCACCGCTTTTCCTGAGCCAGAAGGGTAGTTGTCAATACATCAACACCAGGTGAAGTATCTGAATCTATATCTATATCCCACAACAAATATGTGATACGCACTTTTCTGGGTGCATCATACATGGATGCTTGCAGTTTCGAACAATATGCTGTCAATTGGTCATGTTCAGAAGCCTTGATGCTGGGCAGTACAACCCCCCATGAACGCTGGGATTTTTTTTGATGCTCAATATTATAGATTGACCATGTTTGACCCTGCAACAAAAAAACAAAACGAAATATACCAATGGCCACCTACACTTCAGACTTTTGATCCAAAGTCGGGACTTCATCATGGGCCCTTTGAGCTGAAGCTGTCAACCACAAAAGGAGGCGACTGCAACCATTCTGGGCAGGTGTTTAATCCCGTTCCCCCAATGCCAAATATGTATATTAAATATTACAAGTACGTGATATATATATATATATACATATGTACATATATATATATACCCAGAGGAAACCCTGGAAGTTACTTGAGATGGGAGGGACAAGATGATCATTTTATGGAAGGATCAATGACGACGAGCGGGACCACCATTTTCGCATTTTCGCCGCGGAGAGCGATGTGTCTGGTTTGGGTAGCTTGTAGGGCAGTCGATCTGCACCAAATCTCAGCAAGGCCGAGAGACATATTTATTACATGTTATTAGCATCTGGAAAGTCTCGTCTATTGACTTTACCATTGTGAAGCAGTGTGTGCTTCCATAGAAGCCCACTAAAATCACTCAAACCATTGCCGCAATTGCCCTTGCTTGCCGATGCAGGACATGCTCCAGCCATCCCAAACAACAAGAAATTCAGAGATATCAAAACCCGCGTCGCGGCGTCGCGATGCACTGGCGTCGCACAGTCCAGTTTCCCAGTTTTGCAGAGGATCACAGCCCAAGTCTGTTGCATTATCTATTGGTATGTAGCTTTGTCCAGAAATGGATGCCCCAATATATGGCCTTGAAAAAAATGCAAAAATACGGTTTCAAACCACTTTTTGGGGGTCTCTCATTTTGGAAAAAAACTGGGGAGTGCAAATCTTGCAGATGTCAGTCGTGCGGCCTACTCAAAACGAATCCTTATATGTGCAGTATCTGGCTCTCACAATGTTGCAAAATACCATGCTTGGTTCGACCAAAACGGGTTTGTGTGAAAATAGCTACGGTACCATAATTCAATCGACTGGTGAATCACCTTTGCTCAATGCATGACCATTCAGCAGGCATTGTGCTTGTTGGGAAGGCCTTCAGAGTTCGAATCCAGTCCAATCTCCCCAAAACCTGTCATTTCGAAGCGAAAGCGCTGTTTTTTGGAACAAAAAAAGCCACTTTTGGACCCTAAAGAAACATCCAGGCGCATCAAGGTGCGCAGAGAGGTCAGAGAAGTCATTCCAACGAGAAACTTTGCTGCAACGAGAAAATCTGTTTCCATTTCCGACCCAAGCTGATTGACTGTTGTTACTATATAGTGGTTTCTGGCGACTAAATATACATACATGTATATCTATATATATAATTATATTATTCTGGTATATACTAAATATACAGTAATGTATATATATATATATATACGTATATATACGTATAATTTACATGATATTAAGTCGAAGCGAACAAGGAACTTCAAGCCATCCAAACATGGCATCAGATTCCAGGTTCCAGGTTACCACCCAGCTGTATCCTTCGTTTGGACCGTGCCAGCTTTCTCTTCAAAGGATGTCGCTCACGGACATACGAGTCACAATACAGCTTCGGCACAAAGGCACGCCCGCATGAATTAGTCCTTGAGGACATGCTTGGCCTGAAATCCAATACTGAACCAGGGTTTCTGGGGATTTAGATGTGTTATGATGTGTTTATTATTAGGATAATGAAGGGGGTTCTATAAAGGTCTTCCAAACCAGTTCCGTATCTGTTTAGGCAAATTTGTTGATTTGGCACTACAGCTTTACGCAACTACTCCTCGAATGCAACAAAGCGATGTTTTTCGGAGATGTTGGGAATCGTTTCACTTGACAGAAATTTGCAGATCGGGAAAATAAACTATGTTTACAAGAGATGGCTTGTACTGTTAGACCATAATTCAGAGCTCTTTGGGCGCTGCCTCACATTTCAGAAGCAATGTGGTACCAATCGCTAATCAAACATGGTAATGGGAAATCTCCTTTTTTCATGGAGCTTTAAAAAAAATGGGAAAATCATCTGCAAAGGATATGGATTTTCCAACAATACCATGTGGTTTTTGTGGGATCTACATGGATCTACGTCTTCTCCGCGTCTCTCCAGTGGCCCTTTATGTTTTTTCCAAGCAAGTCCAAGTCAGCTGCAGGTGAATCCATAAAACCAAACACAACGCCACTTTGGACACAACGCCACTTTGGACACTCTCTGAGTTCAGCCAGAGTCAAGCAATCCGAACAAATCCTAACTCACAACAGGGGTCAGATGTCATAAATCTTGATGAATCACCTTTTGATGAATCCAACTTCATAATGAGCCATGAAAATTATGACATCTTATCTGATGTTAAACATCCAACTCATAAGATGTTCATAATCCATGAGTTCGTCTGAGAAGTTAGCCCTCACAATCCCATGGGTCTCATTCTATCGTTGAACCCGAATGAAGATCTCCAGACTGAGCTCACGCTTCGGCAGACCCAATACCTGGGGGAACTTCCAAGGAAATGAGGCCGTGGTCATGTCACTATGCTTGGGGTCGTCAGGTCAAAGGATACCCTGAATCCAAGATCGCATCGAAAGCTCGACTGGAGGGTGTGAGAATTTGGGTGTGTATCTGGTATAGCCTTTGGTTTCGCCATTGTTCTCAGCCCATGTGCCCAAGTCACTTGGGATTATCCACAACAATCTACCCCCATTTTCACCAGGTCACCCGGTTTCTTGGTTTGGATTTGGGGGTTACACCTTCTGTTTGGTATCTTTGGTTGGGAGGCCGGGAGGTGTTACCTATTCGTACATTGACCAATGCCAGTAAACACCTCCCCCATGATTAAGAAATAGTTCAGACAGTGTATTATATATATATACACATGTTATAAAAGTAGTATATAAAAGTATGCTTTTGCTTGCACAGAGCGAAAACTCCCTACAATCATCAACCAACCCGGCTTTTGGAGGTTTTTGAAATCTGGGTTCCCCCATCAGTTCCCAAGAAGTGGTGCATCGCACCCGGACGGGGACTCCGAAACACTGCAGTCGGAAAGGCGGGGTTTCAACGTCGGTTCCAACGGCCCCTGAAAGCCACATTTTTTTCCGCAAGACTTGGATATGGAGGTTTCCTGGAATGGGGGTACCCCATTCGCTGGATGGTTTATTTCATGGAAAATCCCATCTAGAAATGGATGATTTGGGGGTACCCCTATTGTAGGAAACCTCCATGTCTTTCTAAATACGTCTTTGATTTTCAGCACGTGGGTAGTTCAGCAGAAACAATCAAAACTATCCTTTGGAAGCCTCGCAAAAAAGTGAGTTCAATGAAATTGAAATTTGAGCCCATGAAAATTTGATCTTGTAATCCCTTTTCTCTCCAAATTACAATACTTGTCAATACCTCACCACCTTTCAAAAAGGTCATGTGATGGTTTACCTGCGCGGCTCACCGGAGTTGAGAATCACAGAAACCAATGCCATAAACCTACCATGACTGGGGGTGGTTGAAAAACACCCCAGAATCACCCCCATGAAAATGGCAATTTTGGAGATGGTAAACATGACATTGGGTTTACCACATGTTGGATCATGATCCCATTTTTTTGGTAGGTAAAATATCCAGATTTGTGGAGTCGCTACTGATCCATCAGCAAATCCTCACAGTAAGAACCAGTGGTAACGCATCCATCTTTGGAACATGAAGACAATCATGGTAACTTTTCTATGGGATGCAACTGTATTCAACCATCGATTTTTTTGACCCCCTTTTAAGGGTTTTAACCATCCATGATGAAATCATCCATTTGTTTCGTTGGATCACAAAATCTGAAATTTGATCATGTTCAGCCACACCAATTTGGCTTTGCCCTAAAATGAGTAGCCAAAAAATGATGGCCGAATTCAAAAATGATGCGAAACTATGGGATTGTGAGCTTTGTAACATGCCCAACAACCGCCGTTGGGCCGCCATCGACTTCGCGGCACCTGCGACCTTTTTCAATGGCCACATGGCAGTACCTCAATTTGTTCCAGAAATAAATGGTGGTCTCCCTATGGCTGGGAGAATCCCTAACCTCAATGGTTGTTTGTTTCGAGAAACCATCATTTCTTTCCGGTTCAATCTAAACATCTCGGGGACCAGCTGATTCTCAGCACCACGTCGGCAAGCGACATGGCACCGCATCGTTATCCGTGACCCGTTTCTCCGATCCTCGTGGAAGCTGTTTTTCCAGACACTCGACACTCAGAAATGAGTTCTGGTGCACTGAAAAGGGGATGGTAATGATGGTACTAGCGTCTCCTTTCGGATCCCTAGTCATCAGATTCATCAGATTTTTATGGATTCTGCAAATTGGGTGGCCGAGAAATTCCAATGGTTTTCCC